CACTGTACTCCAGCCTGAGTGACAGAGCAAGATTTCAACTCAAAAAAAAAAGAACACCATGTGAAGATGAAGGCAGAGATTGGGGTGATGCTTCTGCACACTAAGGAACATCAAAGACTGCCAGGGAGGCCCCAAAACCGGGGTAAACGGCCTGACATAGATTCCCCCTCACTGCCTTGGAAGGAATGAACCCCACCGACCCCTCCTCTCAGACCTCTGACCTCCACACTGTGAGATGCTGCATTTCTGTTGTGTAGCCACCCAGTCTGTGGTATTATTAGGGCAGCCCTGCTAAACTAATACATAATCCAAGAGAGATTTTAACAGATTTACTATCATTACTGTTGAATACTCTTTACTAATGGGCCCAGGCCAGGCATGGTGGCTCACATCTATAATCCCAGCACTTTGGGTGGCCAAAGAGGGTGGATTGCTTGAGCCCAGGAGTTTGAGACCAGCCTGGGCAACATAGCGAGACCCCATTGCTACAGAAGAATAAACAAAATTAGCTGGGTGTGGTGGCACACACCTGTGGTCCTGGCTACTCAGGGCACTGAGGTGGGAAGATCACTGGGCAGGGGAGGCTGCAGTCAGTCATGAGGGCACTGCTGCACTCTCCACTATCCCTGACAATCATTTCTTAGGAGTTAACATGATTGGCGAAGTGCAGTGGCTCACACCTATAAACCTAGCACTCTGGGAAGCCACGGTGGGCAAACTGCTTGACCCCAAGAGTTTGAGACCAGTCCGGGCAACATGGTGAGACCCCGTCTCTACAAGAAAATACAGGCCAGGCACGGTGGCTCACATCTGTAATCCCAGCACTTTGGGAGGTCGAGGCAGGTGGATGACTAGGTCAAGAGATCGAGACAATCCTGGCCAACATGGTGAAACCCTGTCTCTACTAAAAATACAAAATTTAGCTGGGCGTGGTGGCGTGCGCCTGTAGTCCCAGCTACTAGGGAAGCTGAGGCAGGAGAATTGCTTGAACCCAGGAAGCGGAGATTGCAGTGAGCCGAAATTGTGCCACTGTACTCCAGCCTGGCGCCTGGCACCTGAGCAGACTCATCTCAAAAAAAAAAAAAAAAGAAAATACAAAAACTAGCCAAGTGTGGTGGCACACGCCTGTGGTCCCAGCTACTTGGGAGGCTGAGGAGGGAGGATGGCTGAGCCCAGGAGTTGGAGGCTGTAGTGAGCCATGATCACGCCACTGCACTCCAGCCTACTCCCTAAAGGTATGCAGTAGACACAGGAGGACGCACATGGTTCAGACTTTCCCTAAGCACTCAACTATTATAATAACAACACCAGAATCGGACCGCATGTACCACTTTGCACATGATTCAGACTTTCCCCAAGCACTCAACTCTATTATAATAACAACACCAGAATCGGACCGCATGTACCACTTTGCACATGATTCAGATTTTCCCCAAGCACTCAACTCTATTATAATAACAACACCAGAATCGGACCGCATGTACCACTTTGCGCATGATTCAGACTTTCCCCAAGCACTCAACTCTATTATAATAACAACACCAGAATCCGACCGCATGTACCACTTTGCGCATGATTCAGATTTTCCCCAAGCACTCAACTCTGTTATAATAACAACACCAGAATCCGACCGCATGTACCACTTTGCGCATGGTTCAGACTTTCCCCAAGCACTCAACTCTGTTATAATAACAACACCAGAATCCGACCGCATGTACCACTTTGCGCATGATTCAGACTTTCCCCAAGCACTCAACTCTGTTATAATAACAACACCAGAATCCGACCGCATGTACCACTTTGCGCATGATTCAGATTTTCCCCAAGCACTCAACTCTGTTATAATAACAACACCAGAATCCGACCGCATGTACCACTTTGCGCATGGTTCAGACTTTCCCCAAGCACTCACCTCTGTTATAATAACAACACCAGAATCGGACCGCATGTACCACTTTGCAACAGGTTTTGTTATTGTTTTTTCATGTTTGTTTTGCTTAACTTTCTATAGATCACATCTTCACAAGTAGTAAGTACAGTAAGGATACCAAAGTAACATAACCAGACTCCTATTGATGGACAGTGTGTGTGTGTGTGTGTGTGTGTGTGTGTGTGTGTGTGATACCAAGTCTTGTTCTGTTGCCCAGGTTGGAGTGCAGTGGCTCAGTCTCAGCTCACTGTAACCTCTGCCTCCGGGGTTCAAGTGATTCTCCTGCCTCGGCCCCCCAAGTAACTGAGACTACAGGCATGAACCACCATGCCCAGCTAATTTTTTGTATTTAATAGAAATGCGGGTTTCACCATGTTGGCCAGGCTGGTCTCGAACTCCCGATCTCAGGTGATCCACCTGCTTCGGCCTCCCAAAGTGCTGGGATCACAGGCATGAGCCCCCGAGCCCCACCCCTCATGGACATTTAGATTGTTTCCTTTTTTTAAACTAACACAAATAACACTGCAGAAAATAGCCTCAAGTAATTTTGCACATTTGTATGTTTTTTTGCAGAATAAATACCTAAACATGGCAAAGCTAATGTTTGTGATGGTTTTAGATCAACTCTACAAATTATTTGATCCTTCTCCCATCAAAAGTGGAGTTTAATTCTCCTCCCTTTGAATATGGGCCAGTATTTATACTTGTTTCTAATGAACAGAATGTGGTAAAGTGGCAAAGGGTGGCTTCTGTGGTTAGGCTAGAAAAGGTGACATAGCTTCCACCTGGCTCCCTCTTTCTCAGTTCCTCTTCCTTGAAATACAGCCACTATGCTGGAATGAAGCCCAAGCCACATGGAGAAGCCCCAGCTGGCTGCCAGACTCATCTGAGGTCACAGCCAACAGATGGCATCAACCTCCAGCCTCAAGAGTAAATGAACCTTCGGATGGCCCAGTCCGATCTCATCATTTTATACCAACATGATTTGTCCTCAAAAGAAAATGAAAGAAATACAGATTATAGCAACGTTATCTTTAGCAAGGTCTGCTTGCAAGGTTGGCAGCTGGCTGGTATCTGGGAACTCGGCTTTGGGGAGGATTCCCACCCTTCCCTGATAAGAATGGCTCACTGCGCCTAAACCGTGCAAACCTTGCTTTATGTTGAATACCTGTCTTTGTATTCAACATTCAAAATTCTGGGAATCCAGAATTTTGGTGTATGCTAGGCAGAGGGTGCCTTTGTGACTAGCCTGCAGTAAAACCCTCGGTGAGTGACCCTGACAGATGGCATTCCACATGTATTGTCAGAGCACACCTCTGGGGGAAGTGAGTGTATCCAGTGTGGGTCCACCGGGAGAGGGTCTTGGACATTCACACTCCATTTTCTCTGGGCTTGACCCGTGAGCTTTTTCCCTTTGCTCCAATTGCTTCATTTCCTGTTGTTGTAATAAATCATAACCTTGAGTATCACTGTATGCTGAGTCCTGCAAGTCCTCCTAGCCAATCATCAAACCCGGGGTGGTCTCAGAGACCCCAACACACCACAGCAACAAGACGACAGGGAAGCCGGCATACTCAGACATTGCTGGTGGTACATGCATGGGCACTGAGAGCAACACAGCTCTGTCTATTGAAAGGCACTCAGTGTCCATTTCCGCTGACTCAGTAATCCCATCTGGGAACGTGTCCCGTGGCAACAATTCCACCGCAGGAAGCAGAGGCTTGGAGATATTCATCACAGCTGGTGCTAAACCTCAACAAAAACTGAATGCCCAAGAATAGAAACAAATTGGTTAAACAAATTATGGTCCATCAACTCTAAGAAACTGGTTACAACGAGATGTGTAAAGATTATAAAGCATCTGTGGTCCCAGCCACTCGGGAGGCTGAGGTGGGTTACCTGAGCCCAGGGAGGTGGAGGCTGCAATGCACTATGATCATGCCACTGTACTCCAACCTGGGCCACAGAGTGATAGCCTGTCTTAAAAAAAAGAAAAAAGATTATAAAGAGAAACATGAAAAAATGTTGCTGATACATTAAAAAAATTTTTTTTTGGCTGGGCACAGTGACTCACATTATCCCAGCACTTTGGGAGGCTGAGGTGGGCAGATCACTTGAGGTCAGGAATTCAAGACAAGCCTGGCCAACGTGGCAAAACCCCATCTCTACTAAAAATACAAAAATTAGGCTGGGCGCGGTGGCTCACGCCTGTCATCCCAGCACTTTGGGAGGCTGAGCTGGGTGGATCACGAGGTCAGGAGTTCAAGACCAGCGTGGCCAAGATGTTGAAACTCCATCTCTACTAAAAATACAAAAATTAGCAGGGTGCGGTGGTAGGTGCCTGTAATCCCAGCTACCAGGAGGCATAGGCAGGAGAATCGCTTGAACCCGGGAGACGGAGGTAAGTGAACCTAGATCGCCCCACTGCACTCCAGCCTGGGTGATAGAGGGAGAATCTGCCAATAAATAAATAAATAGTTTTTAGCTGAGTACAAAATGGTAGGCACATTGACAGCACCTGTACAACCAACAGGAAGACCCAAAGCGGCTACTCAGAAGTGAAAACGGTTGGGGCTATGAGAGGAAGGCCGGGGTGGATTTTTCCAGAGATAAAGTGGGCCTTCCTTTAATGCTGCTGCTCTGATGAACTGGGAGCTTTCTAGGGACGTGGTGGGAGCAGCTGACAAGGCCAGAACTGTGGCCCCGATGCTTCCTCTGACGGTCACTGCCTGGTCTGATGCCTTCAAGGTGTGTGCGTGCGGGAAGGAGGGAGAGGGTGGTAAAGCCAACGTTTTCACCAAGAAGCAGAGGCTCACCGGAGGAAGGGGATGGAACATATGCCCTGAAAATTTAAAAATGCAGACACGTTTCCCCTGCCCTCGCCTCCCACGGACCCGACCCTTCAGCTCCCTCCCGCGGACTCCCAAGCTCCGGGGCTCCTGGGCCCCGCGTCCGTGGAGAGGGGCGGAGCTCGGGACCCTCTGTCCCCCTCCCACCCGGGGAGGAGCGGGGCCTACAGGAAGTGGGCGGGGCTGGCTCGCGGGGCGGAGCCTCGCCGCGCTCTTTGAATCGTAGATGTGCGCGCTCCCGGGCTGGTGGGTTGGAACGTTCTGCCTCGCCCAGCTGAAGGCCATAAACTTGTTCCGCCTTTTAGGGTTGAGGAAAACCCATTTAAAGACGACTCCAGCAACCTCCCATATGCAGGGATTCTTGTGTTCCCCCGGAAAGTCTCACATCAAGGTAGACCACAAACTCAAGGGTGCGGAGCAAGTCACCGACAGAGCAGGGACTGGAGCCGGGAGTCCTGATCCCCAGGTGAGGCCGGCCTTAGAGCTGGCGGGAGGGGCAGGGCGGGGTTGGTCCTCCCAGGCTGGGGCGCAGTGAGGCACACCCCCAGTGAATCTGGATGCTTTTCCAGGCACAAAGACACGTGAAAAGAGACTGGCAGTGACTGACCTGGACTGGCAGGTGACTTTTTTTTTTCCCCTCAACGTTTTATTTTAAAATTTTTCGGACACAGAAAAGTTGAAGGAATGGTTGGGGGAGACACCCATATGCCCGCCACCTAAATTCTAAGGTTACATTGTGTTGCATTTGCTTTGTCACACATCAGTCCAGCCCGCTATCAGCTCTCGGTCTCAAATGGTTTTAAGGTACCTTTTAATTTAATTTAATTAATTAATTAATTTATTTATTTATTTTTGAGACAGAGTCTCGCAGTATTTCCCAAGCTGGAGTGCAGTGGCTCTATCTCGGCTTACTGCAACCTCTGTCTCAAGCAATTCTCCTGCCTCAACCTCCCGAGCAGCTGGGACTACAGGCGCCCGCCACCATGCCCAGCTATTTTTGTATTTTTAGTAGAGACGAGGGTTTCGCCATACTGGCCAGGCTGGTATGGAACTTCTGACCTTGTAATCTTCCTGCCTCAGACTCTCAAAGTGCTGAGATTACAGGTGTGAGCCACCGCACCTGGCTACATTTTAATTTTTTAAAGGCAACTTCCGGCCGGGCGAGGTGGCTCAAGCCTGTAATCCCAGCACTTTGGGAGGCCAAGGCGGGTGGATCATAAGGTCAAGAGATCGAGACCATCCTGGTCAAAATGGTGAAACCCCATCTCTACTAAAAATACAAAAATTAGCTGGTCATGGTGGTGCGCACCTGTAGTCCCAGGTACTCAGGAGGCTGAGGCAGGAGAATTGCCTGAACCCAGGAGGCGGAGGTTGTGGTGAGCCGAGATCGCGCCATTGCACTCCAGCCTGGGTAACAAGAGCGAAACTTCGTCTCAAAAAAAAAAAAAAAAAAAAAGGCAACTTCCAGCTGGGTGCGGTGGCTGGCCAACATGGGGAAACCGCATCTCTACTAAAAATACAAAATAAATTAGCTGGGTGTGGCAGTGCGTGCCTGTATTCCCAGCTACTCGGGAAGCTGAGGCAGAATCGCTTGAATCTGTGAGGCAGAGGTTGCAGTTAGCCAAGATCACAACACTGCACTGCAGCCCAGGGATCAGTGAGACTGTCTCAAAAAATAAAAATGCAAATAACCTCCGTGGAAATATTCAGCCTCTACATACATCAGGAACTCCATCAGTCATGATGGTTTTTCACAGATGCCCTCACTGACTTTTTTGTCCTGGCCCTGTTTCTGGAGCCTGTGGCCAGGGCTGGAGGTATCTGAGCAAACTGCATGGCTGTTCCCGGCTGCTCAGGGCCACAGCCTGCAATCAGCCTGACAAGGCCTCCCAGGACACCCATACCCTGTCCTCTCTAAAGACACTCACAGGATGCCTTCTGGGGGTTCAGGGAAGTCGGAACTGCTACTCCTTGGGCGTGGCAGGAACCTGTCGTCACCGTGCAGGGAGCACAGACACTTTCGAGAGATCAGCACTCAGAAAAGCCTGGCCCAGGGCCCCAGCACACAGCATCGCACCCCAACCACGCTCCTGCCACGCTCGTCTTTGCCAGGAAAATTTAAGTCACTAGATCCCAGCCTGTATCATCCCTGCTCTAAGGGGAGGAGAGAAGGGAGACAGAGTCCCAGGTCTGCAGCTCTGATTTTAGACTAATGTTTTCCCAAAAGGTCACACCCCTCAGCTCCTTCCTCCTGTAAGTGAGGAAAGACAAGGCTGGCAGCTCTTTCTGGTCTGGCTTCAACCCTGTCTTCTCATGCCAGCCCTCCACCCGTGCCCAGTAGGGACTTCATTGCTATTGCTTACCCAGACCATGGCAATAGTGACCTCACCTGTTTCTTGCCCCTTTCCTGGTGGTTCTGTTCCCTGCAGTTCCCTTGGGGCTCACAGACCTCAGTATCTCCCCACTGGGTACAGGATGCAGTCAAAAACACGGCGGGTCTGCCCCCATGTGCCCTGCCACCCCGGTTCTTGTCTCCTCCCCCCACATCTCCCAAAATACCAGGCTGTCTGTTGCATCCCGATGGAGCCATGGATGCCATGTTAACCTCTGTGACCTGCACAGACACTCCAGATGAGTTCCTGGAAAATCTGAAGTAACTGGAAGACCATGAAAAGAGGAAGAAATGATCAACCCCTGCGCCTACTTAACTCTGACATTCTCTATTGTCCCTAATTCCCGTCCCAACTGACAAAGTCATTGGACTTTGTAAGGGACCTTGGTCAACCTCGTGACTCTACACCCTAGGACCCCCTCCCAGCTTGCAAAAAAAACCCCTAAACTGTAACTTCTGTAACTTTCCACTGCTCACCCCAAACCTATAAAACCAACTCCTATCCCACCGCCCTCCGCTGACTCTTTTCAGACTCAGCCCACCCGCACCCTGGTAAATAAACAGCCAAGTTGCTCACATAAAGCCTGTATGTGTGTGTGGCGGGGGTGGGGGGGGTGGGGTCTCTTCATTCAGAGCGTTTTAACACATCCAAGCTTTTGCTGTCACCCCAATTTTTCTACCTGGCAAGTCCTTTCACCTGTGAAGTCCCAACTCCTTGCTGCCTCCCTCATAGAAGCAGAATCCAGCAGGGCGCACAGGACCCGCCACACACAGTGCGGGCTCAGTGTTCAGGGCTGCCCTGCTGCGCGGCCCCAGGGCATCTGCGCAGGCCTCTGCTCAGCGGGGCTGTCCCTGCGCTTAGCTCTTCCCATACACCCACAGGAGGCAGCGCGCCAGCTGAATGGACCCACAGAGAAGCTGGAAGGAACTGTGAATCCGCCAGCACCTACCGGGAACAGCATGAACGGAAGCAGCGCGTGCTGGAGGCAGAAGTGATGAGAGCCGCGGGCGCCCCTGGAGCTCAGCTGAGCCAGACCCGGAGAGGCTGCCTCGGAGAGAGCCTGGCTGCACCCAGTGAGAGCAGAAGCCAGGCACGGGGCTCAGACCACGAACCGCCGTCCTCAGGTTCTCACTATTCCCTTCAGGCGGTGACTGTGTGACCGCGGGCGGTCACTTAATCTTGCCAGGGAGGGCCTCAGTTTCCTCGTCTGTAGAATGGGGTTGGAAAGGCATGGCCGGGAGGTCGCAGCCAGATAAAGCCGAGTGCTGTGTGAACGCTCCAACTTTACAGACAGAGGGGATGTTCCTAGTGCATTGCACCGTTTTCCCTGCCGGACAGAAGCTCCTGACCTCCGCCATCGCTCCCGAACAAGCAGGAAACTTCACACCAATGCCTGAGCCACCGTTCCCACAGCCCCCTCAGCGCCACCGTCTCGTGCGAGCCTCGCAGCTTCCACGAGGGGGCAGCCCAGGCCTGTCATCGCCCCACGGTCTGAGCGGCTGCTGAGGCCAAATGCAGTAATGAGGGAGGGTGGTCCCCAGGAGCCCTGGCTTGGCTCCTTCCCCATCCCCTGTCCTGTGCGGAGGACTTCGGCTGCTGAACTGGGCGTGGCACCTACTCAGGAACGCTCTGCACCCCCGCCCCAGGGCTCAGATCACACACACACACACACACACACACACACACACACACGGCCCGCCCCTTCCTGGGAGCTGACGGTTCCCAGGACAACAGTCAATAGTCAACACAGACTGGAGTTCAAAACGCAGCTGAGCTCAAATGCTCTCCCCAACCTGGAGGGCCCTGTCCCCGCCAGCCACTCTGAGCTTGGGGCCTAAAGGGACAGTGAGGAGGACCCTGCCCAGGCTGTCCCGGGGTTAGAAGGGAGGGGGTGTTCCAGGAGGAGGTTTGGCTGAGCTCAGGCACAAGCACACACCTCTCCCTGTCTCTCTGTCTCTCCCTCTCTGCCCCCCCCCCACACACACACTTGCACCCATGGGAAGCCACCCCACCCCTGGGCTCCAGAGAACCACATCAGCTGCGTACCGATTGCCCCCCACCAGGCCGCCAGCCTCAGTCTCCCCGGCTGCCCAGGGTGGCCCTATGGCCGGCAGGTGTGTTGCTGGTGGCTGCCAGGCCCCCCAGGCTCCGAAGGCGCAGCGGGTGGCCCAGGGAGCTGCCTGCGGTGGAGTGCAGCAGGACCAGCTGTGGCGGGAGCTCCTGGAAGCCGAGCGGAGGGGCCAGCAGCGCTGGTGAGTCTGCTCTCCCTTCTCCACTCTGACCCCGCAGCCTGACGGCAAGTTGGAGAAGCTTTTGGAGAAGGGGGATGGGTGGGGAAATGATCTGAGCTAAGGGACAGAGTGCGTGGCATGCCTGGGGGGGAGGTGGGGCACCAGCCCAGCCCCCGGCCAGACCCGAGCCTGAGCCTAGGAAGTGGGAAACATGGAGGCCAGGGCAGGGTGCCGCTGGGTTAGGGCAGCCCCACCTGGTTCTTTCCGACTGCGGGGAGGCCCGGAATCCCTGGAACTGGAGTCTGCTGGTCTAGTTTGGGTGAGAGGCGCTGGCCATCTGACCTGACTCCAGGGAAGGATGCTCCTTCATGCATTCATTCAGCCAAAAATGCCCATGCGCTGCTCTGAAACGAGACCAGACTGCAACAGGGGACAAGACTGACCTGGCTGTGGCTCCACGGAGCCTTCATTCTCAGGACAGGGCAGCCAAAAGCAAGCAGAGAAGCAAACAAGTACAGATCTATATTTAGGGTGGGCAGCGGTAAGAAGGAAACAGTTGGCCCGGTGCGGTGGCTCCGGCCTGTAATCCCAGCACTTTGGGAGGCCTAGGAGGGCGAGTCACGAGGTGAAGAGATTGAGACCATCCTTGCCTATATGGTGAAACCCCATCTCTACTCGAAATACAAAAATTAGCCCAGCGTCCTGGCCAGCGCCTGGAGTCCCAGCTACCCGGGAGGCTGAGGCAGGAGAATCACTTGAACCCAGTAGAGGTTGCAGTGAGCCAAAATCATGGTCATTGCACTCCAGCCTGGGTGGACAGAGTGAGACCGTCTCTAAAAAACAAAAAGGAGAAGAAGGAAACAGTTCAGGGTGAGAGGAGGGAGCCTGCTGAAGGCCTCTCTGAGAAGGAGACGTTTAAGCTGAGACCTAAAATAGGAGAAGTAGCCAAGAGTTTGATGTGTCTAACAAAAACAAAACAGAATGAGTATAGCCGAGGCCCAGGGACGGAGGGAGGCGACAGGATGAGGGGGAGCATGGGGGGAGCCACCCCAGCCCTTGTAAAAGTCTGGACGTGTTTTTTCCAAAGGAGATACCATACGGGATTTTAAGCAAGAGCATGGCAGGATCATTTCCATTTTTAAATGACCAGCCTGGAAGATTCTAGAATGCATTCATCTTGCACAACTGAACTTCATACCCACTGATTAGCAACTCCCCATTCTCCCTCCCCCAACCCTCCGGCACCATTCTGGTCTTTGCTTCCAGGAGTCTGTTTTCCTCATGTAAGTGGAATTGTGCAGCGTTGTCTTTCTGTGTCTGTCTCCTGCTCAGCATCCTGTCCTCCAGGTTCATCCACGTCGTAGCATATCACAGACTTCCCTCCCTCTTTAGTATATGCAGTTTCCTTATTCATTTGTCAATGGACTTTTAGTTTGTTTCCACATTTGACTATTATAAATAGTGCTGCAGTGGACATGGGAGTGATTTTAGTTCTTTTGGGTGAATTTTCAAAAGTGGATATTTTAGTTCATTCTGCATTGCTGTCAAGGACCCCCTGAGATTGGGTCATTTATAAAGAGGCTTATTTGGCTCACAGTTCTGCAGGCTGTAAAAGCATCTCTTCTGGTGAGAGCCTCAGGAAGTTTACACTAATGACAGAAGGTGAAGGAGGAGCAGGCATGTCTCACGGTGAGAGAGGGACTGAGAGAGAGGGGAGGGGTCAGGCTCTTTTTAACAACCAGTTCTGTCCCGTGAACTAATAGAACAAGAGCTCATTCATTTCCGCAAGGAGGGCACCAAGCCATTCATGATGGATCTGCCCCCATGACCCAGATACCTCCCACTAGGCCCTACCTTCGACACTAGGGATCACATTTCAATATGAGATTTGGGGAGAACCAACATTCAAACCATCCCAGTGGGCTGCAGAGTTAAGTGGCACCTCTACTTTTAATCTGTTGAGGAACCTCTGCTGTCTTTTCACAGCAGCGGCACCACTCTGCATCCCCGTCAGCAGCATCCCAGCAGTCCGGTTTCTCCACATACTGGCCAACGCTCATTGATTGTCTTTCCTTTTTGATAACAGCCAGCCTAATAGGAGTGAGGTGGTCTCTTATTGTGGTTTTTGTTTTGTTTTGAGACGAAATCTCATTCTGTCACCCAGGAAGGAGTGCATTGACATAATCTTGGCTCACTGCAACCTCTGCTTCCCGGGTTCCAGTGATTCTCCTGCTTCAGCCTCCTGACTAGCTGGGATTACAGGTTCCCTCCACCATGCCTGGCTAATTTTTGTATTTTTAGTAGAGAGAGGGTTTCACCATCTTGGCCAGGCTGGTCTTGAACTCGTGACCTCAGGTGATCCACATGCCTCAGCCTCCCAAAGTGCTGGAACTACAGGTGTGAGCCACTGTGTTCGATGTCATTGTGGTTCTGATTTGCATTTCACTGACAATGAGTGATGTTGATCATCTTTTCATATATTTATTGGCCATTTATTTATCTTCTTTGGAGAAACATCTGTTCAAGTCCTTAACCCATTTTTTTCAATTGGGTTATTTGGTTTTGTGCTGCTAAGTTTTAGAAGTTCCTTACGTATGTTGTAAATTAACATCTTATCCGAAACGGGGTCTGTAAATACCGTCTCCCATTCTGTGTGTTGCTTTTCACTGTGTTGCTTGTTTCCCTTGCTCTTCAGAAGCTGTTCAGTTCGATGTAACTCCATCTCTCCATCTTTGCTTTTGTTGCCTGTGCTTCGTGTGGCATTTCCATGGAATAACTGCCAAGATCAATGGCATGAAGCTTCCTCCTGTGTTTTTGAGTGTATTGGTATGTATCATGTAAGAAAGGAAACAATTTCATTCTTTTGCATGTGAAAAGCTTCTGCACAGCAAAGGCAACAATTAACAGAGTGAAAAGGCAACTACAGAATGGCAGAAAATATTTACACACTGAGTAGGTGTGGGAGGAAAGGTGAGGAAGGAGTAAAGGACGACAGATCTCAGCTTGAATAATTAATAAAGAAAAATGATGAAGATGCTGAGCTCTGGTGAGTTTTAAATGCCTGAACCATGTCTAGATGGAGCTTCCCAGGAGGTAGCTGAGTATGAGAGTCACGAGTTGCGCATTAAAAACCCATTCAGAAGGGGAGAATGCGGACTGACTGCAAATGGACATAGGTGTTTTGGGGTGATGAAATGTCCCGGAATCAGAAAGTGGTAATGACCATGCAACTCCATGAGTATATCAAGTCATCGAGTTGTGTGCTTTAAAAGGTGAACCTTGTGAATGTAAATTATATCTCAATTTTAGAAGGAAACAGGTGGGCATTGGCCCCAGTGATGTGAATAAGCTTTCCCTAGAGCGTGATGGATCAGAAGAGGCGAGGACACAGGACAGAACTTGCAACACGTACTAGAAGGGCAGAGAAGCTGCCAGGAGAAAGCCAGGGGCACAAGGAGGCATAAAGACCTAGAGCAGAGAGTTTTGCAAGGCCTGGAAAGCCCTAAGAGGGATGTGTAAGGCAGTGCTACCCCACAGAAATACCATGTGAGCCAAACACATAGCTTAAATTTTCTAGTAACCTCCTTACAAAAATGAAACAAGAGGCCGGGCACAATGACTCACACCTATAATCCCAGCACTTTGGGAGGCAGAGGTGGGCAGATCACCTCAGGTCAGGAGTTCGAGACCAGCCTGGCCAAGATGGTGAAACCCTGCCTCTATTAAAAATACAAAAATCAGCCAAGTGTGGTGGCAGACACCTGTAATCCCAGCTACTCCAGAGGCTGGGGCAGGGATAATTGCTTGAAACCAGGAGGCAGAGGTTGTAATCAGCGAGATTACACTGCACTCCAGCTTGGGCAACACAGCAAGACTCCATCTCAAAACGAAAAGCGAAAAAACCTTATAGGAATAAAAATATATAAAGTTGAAATATAAGACACAACTGAAGTGAGATTTCATAAACTCAAGACAGGAAAAATTATTCAGAAAATCAAGACAGAAAACACAAAGGAAGAATTAAAAACCTAAAGAAACTAAACAAGAAGGTCCAACTCTTTTTTTTAGACAGAGTCTTGCTCTCTTGCCAGGTGGGAGTGCAATGGCGCGATCTCGGCTCACTGCAACCTCTGCCTCCTGGGTTTAAGCAATTCTCCTGCCTCAGCCTCCCAAGTAGCTAGGACTACAGGTGCACGCCACCATGCCCAGCTAATTTTTGTATTTTTAGTAGAGACAGGATCTCACCATGCTGGCTAGGATGGTCTCGATCTCTTGACCTTGTGATCTGCCCGCCTTGGCCTCCCAAAGTGCTGGGATTACAGGCATGAGTCACCGCTCCTGGCTGGAGGAAATGTAATTCTTAGCTCTAGAAAGAATACAAGGTTGTACAAGAAAAGAATTCAGATGTATTGCACTCCTTAGCTCATCAGTGAATAACATTTACATAATCATAAAAATCTAAACAATGTTATAATGTCTATCAACTTAACCAAGATCTATAATTATATTGAAAGAATTAGGGGAAGGCCAGGGAGAAGAATGCTAACTCTTCATCTCTCATAATAGAAAGTTGGTAGATAAGTTTAAATTTTAAAAAATATGGCCAGTCATGGTAGCTCATGCCTGTAATTCCAGCACTTTGGGAGGCGACGTGGGTGGATGATGAGGTCAAGAGATTGAGACCATCCTGGCCAACATGGTGAAACCTGGTCTCTACTAAAAATACAAAAATTAGCTAGGTGTGGGGGCGCGCACCTGTAGTCCCAGCTACTCAGGAGGCAAGGTTGCAGTGAGCTGAGATTGTGCCATTGCACTCCATCCTGGGCAACAGAGTGAGACTTGGTCTCAAAAAATTTTTTTTAATATTAAGAAACAGCAGTTGATATCTCAAGTTGAATTGTAATCCCCAGTGTTGGAGGTGGGTCTGATGTAAGGGGATTGGATCCTGGAGACGGTTCCTCTTTAATGGTTTATACCATCCTCATGGTACATCCTCACAGTAGTGAGTTCTCAGCAGATCTGGTTCTTTTACAGCCTGTGGCACCTCCCTTCTCTCTCTCTTGCTCCTGCTCTGGCCATGTGACCTGCCTGCTGCCACTTTGCCTTCTGCTATGATTGTAAGCTTTCTGAGACCTCCCCAGAAGCTAAGCAGATGCCAGCATCATGCTTCCTATACAGCCTGTGGAACCGTGAGCCAATTAAACCTCCTTTATAAATTACCCAGTCTCAGGTATTCTTTTTTTGTTTTGTTTTGAGATGGAGTTTCGCTCTTGTTACCCAGGCTGGAGTACAATGGCGTGATCTTGGCTCACCGCAACCTCCGCCTCCTGGGTTCAGGCAATTCTCCTGCCTCAGCCTCCTGAGTAGCTGGGATTACAGGCATGCGCCACCATGCCCAGCTAATTTTTTGTATTTTTAGTAGAGACGGGGTTTCACCATGTTGACCAGGATGGTCTCGATCTCTTGACTTCGTGATCCACCTGCCTCGGCCTCCCAAAGTGCTGGGATTACAGGCGTGAGCCACCGCACTTGGCCCCAGGTATTCTTTATAGCAAAGCAAGAATGGTGTAATACAGCAGCAGAATCATATTATTTCAAAATATGGAAGCAAAAGTCCTGATGAAACAGCTAAAAGACTGGAAATGGTTTGACTCTAGGATGTGGGGCTTAGGGAATGTGAGGATGGGGGCAGACAAGACTGTTTTTATTGTGTTTTGTAGAATTGTTTGACTTTTTAAAAATAGATTCAAATAAAATTAAATGACCAGTGCAAGGTCATACCATTCTTACGGTCATCCTCCCTCCCTTTTCCAACCGCTCCCTAACCTTCCTCTGTCACTCACATTGGAAGGTTACAAAGGTTTGGCAGCATGAAAACTGTTTTTTCTTCAGAGAATGCTTGCTTACTGAAGCCTTCTGAAAATGCACAGGTGCAGGGAGAGGTCTCAGCCTTTGCTCTCCTTCGGCAGCCCACCATAGCAACACCATAACTGTCATTGTGGGAAAAGTCATTGGAAATTGAAATGTTTGTTCCTTTGGTAGGATACACCATAAATACCTGTTTGACACTTGGCATTTGTTTCACTTAAAAATTCTTTAGTTCTGGGTGGGTGCAGTGGCTCATACCTGTAATCCCAGCACTTTCGGAGGCCAAGGTAGGTGGATCACCTGAGGTCAGGAGTTTGAGACCAGCATGACCAATAGGGTGAAACCCCATCTCTACTAAAAGTACAAAAATTCGCTGGGCGTGGTGGCGTGTACCTGTAGTCCCAGCTACTTGGGAGGCCGAGACAGGAGAATTGGGGAGGTGGAGCTTGCAGTGAGCTGAGATTGTGCCACTGCACTCCAGCCTGGGCAACAGAGCAAGACTCCCTCTCAAGAAAAAATTCTTTAGTTCTCCCATGTGATACATTGTTGCATTGACCTGAGGCAGTGAAAGTCATTTCTGAAAATGCCCAGAAGGCACTCGCACAGCCAACATGTTTTTCCTTTCCAGGGTTCAGAACTGGAGTTTCCTGAAAGACTATGACCCAATGGTAAGGTAAAATATGTTTCTGCCAAACATACTTGCAATTGAATATTTTTTCATTCTTGCCTTCATTCAACTAACATTTACTAAAGATCTACTCTGCATTAGATGTTGGATGTACAGAGATGAGTAAAATACACTCTTGTTTCAAGGAATGCAGGGTCAGTGGGAAAGAAAACATGTATATGAAGCATTTAAAAATGTGTTTCTTAATTTTATTAAGATGAACTAATTGGAAATGACAGGCATCTGAAATATCTCCCCTGACTGAGGATGGCAGCAATGTGTAGTCAGAACTCTGTGGTGTGCCCAAAGAGGACAATGAAATTGGATAAAAATACTTTGTAAACTAATTCCCTGATTCTAGTATCAGCACCTCCAATTCGTTGTCCATTGTGCCACCAGAGAAATTTCCCTGAACTGTAGAACTGGCCATGTAGCTCCCCCGATTAACATCCTTCAGTATGTCTGAAATTTTCAGGGTAGCTCACAAAGCCTCCTGTGATCTAACGCCATCTGTCTCTCCAGCCTCATTACCCACACCACACTGACCCCACAACACAGTTTTGTTGTTGTTGTTCTTGTTGTTTTTAGATGAAGTCTCGCTCTATCACCCAGGCTGGAGTGCAGTGGCATGATCTTGGCTCACTGCAACCTCTGCCTCCCAGGTTCAAGTGACTCTCCTGCCTCAGCCTCCCAATTGGCTGGGACGACAGGTGCACGCTACCACATCCAGCTATTATTTATAGTTTTAGTAGAGACGGGTTTTTGCCATGTTAGCTAGGATGGTCTCGATCTCCTGACCTCGTGATCTACCTGCCTCGGCCTCCCAGAGTGCTGGGATTACAGGCATGAGCCACCATGCCTGGCCTTTTTTTTTTTTTTTTTTTTTTTTGAGATGGAGTCTTGCTCTGTCATCCAGGCTGAAGTGCAGTGGTACAATTTCAGCTCACTGCAACCTCCACCTCCTGGATTCTAGACATTTCCTGCCTCAGCCTCCAAAGCAGCTGAGATTATAGGTGCACTCCCTCATCCCTGTCTAAGTTTTGTATTTTTAGTAGAGACAGGGTTTTACCACGTTAGCCAGGCTGGTCTCGAATTCCTGACTTCAAATGATCCAACTGCCTTGGCCTCCCAAAGTGCTGGGATTATAGGCATGAGCCACTGCACCCAGCCCCCACGACACACTCTTTCATCCATGCCTTTGGGCATGCACGTCCCCTGCTGAAATGTCCTTCCCACCTGGTCAGCCTGACGGGCTCCTATTCACTCTTCAAGACCCAGCTCTAGTGCCCCCTCTTCTGGGTAGGCTTGACCAGATCACTCCTTCCTTTGATTCACCAGCATATCTCACCTGTTATTTCGGCACTGCATGTAATGTAATACTGCAATGCCCAACTTCACCAGCTGTGAACTCCTTAAAAGAAAGGATGAAGCCAGGAGTTGTGGCCCACACATGTAATCCCAGCACTTGGGGAGGCAGAGGTGGGAGGATCACTTGGGCCCATGAGTTCAAGACTAGCCTGGGCGACATAGGGAGACCTCATCTCTACAAAAATGACATAATTTTTTAAAAAGAGAAAAGATGAATGTGAATTCATCACTGCACCCTACCACAGCGCTAGCATTTGCCCCATCCCCCAGGGACCATAACAGTGAACATTCAGTTCATGCTGGATGAATGAGTGAATGGAAAGATAGGTCTCACTATAAAAAAGATGGTGAGCCAGGTGTGGTGGCTTGTGCCTATAATCCCAGCACTTTGGGCATTCGAGGTGAGCAGATCACCTGAGGTCTGGAGTTAGCAACCAGCCTGACCAACATGAAGAAACCATGTCTCTACTAAAAATACAAAAATTAGCCAGGCATGGTGGTGCATGCCTATAATCCCAGCTATTCAGGAGGCTGAGGTAGGAGAATCACTTGAACCTGGGAGGCAGAGGTTGCAGTGAGCCGAGATCCCGCCAATGCATGGCCAAAGAACCAACCTGGAGATGAACAATGTGGAAAATCACTTGCTGGGGTGGCCATGCTGACATGGACCTTGCCAGGTTGAGGAAAGGTTTAATGCCTGCACCGTGGACCTGCTGGGCTTGTTGCTGTCTATTCTGGAGGGAAAATTCAGCTCATGGGACCTGATATCCTGCCCTGTGCATCTTTTCTGGGCTTCCAGCCTGTAAGTCTCTCCCTGCTAAGCAGGGAGCAACCTGACTACTGAAACCTACATCATGGCCAATGGATAGAGCCATCTCAGCATGCACTTTGCCAGGTAATAGCCAGGATCTCCTTACTTGACAGGTCATGTCACTTCTATTAGACACAGGGTAGCAGAAATGTACCCCTAAACAGGGGCAGGAAGAGCTGAGGATGTTTTTCCACTTATTAGATAGATAGGTAGATAATTAGATAGATAGACAGACAGATAGATAGATAGATTGATAGATAGATAGATGATACATGGTCTCACTCTGTTGCCCGGGTTGGAGTGCAGTAGCATGATCACAGCTCACTGCAGCCTCAACCTCCTGGGCTCAAGTGATCCTCCCATGTCAGCCTCCTGAGTAGCTGGGGCTACATGCATGCACAACCACACCCAACTAATTTTGTATTTTTTGTAGAGATGAGGTCTCACCATGTTGCCCAGGCTGGTCTGAATCTTTCCACCTAGGTTTTTCAAAGTGCTGGGATTAAAGGCATGAGCCACGGCACCTGGCCATCAGATTATATTTACTAATTCATAAATGCATCCATTACGGAGTTCACCCAAAGGCATGTTCACATATGCCCAGAACAGAACCCATGAGAACCCCAAACTAGAGTCAACCCAAGAGTGATCAGCAGTGATACAGGTGAATAACTTGCGGGATATTTACACAGTTCCCACCATGGAGTAACGTACAGCACTGAGAATAAATGGACAGCAATCACACACAAAATGTGAATGAATCTCACAGACATAATGTTGAGAGAAAGAAGCCAGACAGAGGAGCCATGATTCCACTAATGCCTAGTTGAAAGCCAGGCAAAACTAATGCATGGCATTACAGGTCAGGATCAGGTTGCCTTGGAAGCAGAGACAGTGGTTGAGGGGCTCAAAGGAGGTGGGGGAGGGGTGATCATATCCCTTGATCTGGTTGGGCACATGGGCATCTTTGTGAACATTTGTCAAACTGGACAGTGATGATCTGCGCACTTTTCCATGTGAATGTTATACTCTAAGTACAAATCTACAAAAAAAAAGCAATGAATAGAAACCTCCCACCATATGTAAAGCAGTGTCTTAGTCATGAGGATAGAAAGGGGAATAAGATCTGATCCTTCCCTTGATCTCTGCAGGTTGCAGCATAAAAGCTAAGGGATCTGGGAGGCACCTAGGGATGGGGAGGTGGAGGAAGAGGAGGGCAAGCTTGGCAGAGGCCGTGGCGGGTCACTCTTACAGGGTCCCAAGTCCAAACCAGGATTGAATCACCTGGAGACACTTAACACAGAGCGGCACCTGCTCTCTGGGCGGTCCTCTCCCATCCTGCGGTCCTCCTTTTTCCACACTCTGTGTGACCTGAGCTGTCCCCTCTTCTCAGGGTAATAAGAAGGAGCCTGAGAAGTTGCCAGACCATGTGCCTCTCTTTTCGGATACAGTCCCCAGTTCCACGAACCAATTTGTGGGCAGCAGGCTGGACACACCCCTGGGACAGACCCTCATCCACATGGACTTCTTCTTCACAGAAGGGGTCCGGAAGAAGAAGCTGGAGGACGAGATGCAGCCCATCTAGGAGCAAGGAGGGCTGGCTGGCCTTCCTCAGGTGAGCGTGGGTGGGGACCAGAGACCTGGCCCATGACAGCACCAGTCGGCTCCCCACACAAGGCAGCTTGGGGCTGCACTGTCTCTAAGCTGCAGGACACCCTTCCAGAGAGCTCCACGGGGCCACTCTTACACACTTTTTACATCTGAAATTCAGAGGACTCAGTAACTGGTCCATGGCCATACAACCCCCAGCCCTTCCAGCTCGGTAACACCTGGGTGCCCCACGAAAGGGACCCTTCATTGCGGTTAGGGGCACTGAATGCCTCGGTTCAAGTCCACCTCGTGACTCTGATGAGCTGTGGAACCTGGAGCTGGCTGCTGCTGTTCCTCCATCTCCTTTCCTGTGATACGGTGTCTTCACTCCTTGCAGCTGCTGTGACAATGACCACACACTATGTAGCTTAAGACAACACAAACATATCCTCTTACAGCTCTGAAGTCTACAACTCCGACATGGTGTCACTGGGCCAAAATCGACATGTTGCAGAGCTGTGCTCTTTTAGGAGGATCTGGGGAAGAATCTATTTCCACCTTTTTTTCCAGTTTCTCAAGGTAGGCTGCATTACTTAGCGGCTCCTTACTCTGTCTTCAAATCCAGTCTCTATCGTTCTCTCTCTCCTGCCTCACTCCTTCATCTTTTATCTCCCTCCCTTCCTCCCTCCCTCTCTTTCTTTCTTTTTTCTTTCTCTCTCTCTCTCTCTCTCTCTTTTCAGACGGTGTCGTACTCTGTCACCCAGGCTGGAGGACAGTGGCATGATTATAACTCACTGCAGCCTCACACTCCCAGGCTGAAACAATCCTCCCACTTCAGCTTCCCAAGTAGCTAGGAACACAGGCATATGCCACCATGCCTGGCTAGTTTTTTAAATCTTATGTAGAGATGGGGGTCTTGCTATGTTGCCCTGGCTGGTCTTGAACTTTTGGGCCCAAATGATCCTCCCACCTTGGCCTTCCAAAGAACTGGGACTACAGGCATCTGGCTTCACTCCTCCATCTTTTCAGGACACTTGTGCTTACATCACAACCTTCATATTTAAGCAAAAAATGCAGAAAAGGCTTAGTTCCTCTTTGTTGGTTAAAATACAAATGGATTCATTCTTTCAAACATCCGCATTCTCCTCTTCTTCTGGGCACTCTGCTAGGCTGTGTTTTCCCTTGGTTTGGGTGGAGCATGAGACAGAGCCATGGTCAGCGGACTGGGAGCAAAAACCCTAGGTCTCCCTTCCAGGCCTGGTCCATGAGACACTCCAGGTATTGGCTTGTTCTCTTTTCCCCATCAGCTGAAGAGGGGAGAGGACTTGGAGGATGTGGGGAAGAGAGGGGCACAAGATGGAAAGAGTGCATCAGGCCTAAGCCTGGAGCCCTGAGTGAGCTTGTGGAGCAGAACCTCCCTATACCCACATTGGGCTGGGAGAGGAGTAAATAAACGCCTTTTATGTTCAGGGAAACAAACATACAAACAAAATAAACAAAAACTGACCAAAACAAAAACAATAGCCCACGTCTCTAGGGTAAAGCATTTTAAATGCATCTTCTCAGCAACCCAAGGGAATAAACAGGCAGGGATTTCATATTCATTTAACACAAGCAAAACCTGAGATCCAGAGAGGGGAAATAAAATCCCAAACATACATAAATCCCAGGCCTCAAGCTTGAAGCCCAGTATCCTCTGTGGGACCCCAGCCATGGCCTCCTGAAATGAGAAGAAAATGGGGCAGGGGCTGAAATGACTGCTGTGTCTTTGATGCTTGCTTGGGTCTTATTCGGCAGTAGCTAAACCTCACTGTTATTTGCATGTATTAACTCATTTAATCCTCTCAGCAGCCCTTTGAGATAGATACTCCTATAGATAATGCAACTAAAGAACAGAGAGGTTAAATCACTTGCACAAGGTCACACAGCTGGCAAGTGGTGAAGCTGAGGTTCAGACTCGGCAGTTGAGTCTGACTCCGAAAACTGTATACTTAAGCACTATGCTATAAGGGTCCCCTTTAATTCTCAATAAATTGATTCCCCAAAATTTAGCAAATCACAGGATTTTTCTGCTTAAGAAAGTGTCTTGATCCTTGAGAAAGGGAAAATTGATTTTTCCAGTCCCTGGGATCCCTACTACCACCAGGAATAGGTCATCGATGTTACCAGGAGTTACACAGGACACGCTATTTCCATGCCACACCCTGGCCCTGTGCGAGTGTGTGATGGAGCCGACCAGGCCCAATGTGACTTGGCCAGGAAGAGACTCAGGTAGGCCAACAAGGCACACCCTTCCTATCTGGATCTGGAGGCCACTGCCTTCTTTCTCAGTGTCTGAGACGGAAGCTGGGCTCCTTTCCACTCTGAGATTATCATCTGGGCAAAGGTCAGTGGTCAGGACAGCCAGGGGTCCTGGTCACATCCTGGCAGCATCCCTTGAAGGTCAAGTGCTTGCCCTTGGGCTGGGCGGGTACAAAGATGCTGGAAGCTCCTTAAAGACCCAATCTGCGTTTTTGTGATGAGCCTGCCTTATATTATTTTCACACTCAAAATAAAGACAGACTTCCAACTGAGGGAGAGAGAGGTACAAGAAAAGTCAAGGTTAAGTATGGCTGCAGGTGATCAGGCCTGTGCAGAGGGGAGGGAATCACTGAGTGCCCTGGAGGGCAGTGAGGAGAGCCAGGGACCTGCGCTGGTTCTGCCTCTTCTGGAAGCACAGCCACTTACAGACAATGCAGCCTGTAGGAACAGACTCTGGGCTTGGCACATTACTCACATTGTGACTTTTGCACATATTATAATTGTCATCATTTGAGAAGTTTAGAAACTAAGCCAAAGCCTTCACACAATCTGGTCAGGGTCACATAACTAGTGAAGACCAGGATCCATCTCAGGTGTGACTTCTCCATGCTGCCTTCCCCCCTCCAGGCCTCAGTCTCCACAGTTATAAAACAGGGAGGAGAGAAGGAGACAGATTTAAGGGCATCTCCAGCTCCAGGATTCTGTTCTTTGAGCATTCTGGGAGTACTGGAGAACAAGGGGCTTGGGTTCTTTGCAGGGTGCATTAGTCAGCTGTGACAATGCTGTGCAACAAAACAGCCCCTTCCTCACTCACAGGTCTGGGCTTGGCTAGACTTGGCTCCATACTTCAGGCTGGTGAAGTCTTCTGTGCATGTCTCCTGTTCTCTTGGACCAAAAGCCTCTTTGGACATATTTTTCTCACGGCACATCACTAGGGCGCAAGGGCCCAACCGAACCGTGCACGTTCCGCAAGCAGAACTGCTTTCTGTACTCTGCAATGACCTGTCTCATGCCAAACCCCTCCTCACAACCAGCCCCAACTACCCTCTGCTCCTTGCCACATCTGCCTTCCTTTCAAGAAGATGCCTGCTTCTAACCTTCCCTGTCTCACCCACTGGGAGCCCAGGAAACAAGGAAAGAGGCATCTGCAATGAAATCCCAATGCCAGCCTCTCACCTTGTTTGGACCAGAACACAGGAGGGTAGATGGGCCAGGAGGTGGTGAAGAAGAGGGCACCAAGCCTGCAGAGTCAGCACCAGCAAAAAGAAAAGGAGGCATTACCTATAAAGAGTGGGCACTTGGAGACCAAGCACCAGGAGGCAGCAGGGCTTCGTGAAAGGGCTGGAAGCAGGAGCTGAGAGCCGTAGCAAGCCTGGAGGGACACTTGCTTCACTTTTAATCACTGCTCCTCTGAGCACCTCTGCTTCTCTCTCCTGTCTGTAGCAGACCAGCGTCTCTGCTTCCAGGTGACAAAAAATGACCTCCATCCACAGAAGTATGAGGTGCGCCTGGAGCAACTTCCTGTGCCAGAAACTAAGGAAAATTCAAAAAATGAGGATATGGAAAAGGAATAAAGGACCAACCTAAATTTGGGACCACATGAGTGTCAAAATGAAGAACGGTAATAGCCCCTCGACCACACCATGATCCCCCCAGCCAGTGCCCACAAGCCCCACCTAATAATAATAATAACAGGCGGGGCACGGTGGCTCACACCTGTAATCCCAGCACTTTGGGAGGCCAAGGTGGGCGGATCACCAGGTCAAGAGATCGAGACCACCCTGGCTAACATGTTGAAACCCCGTATCTATTAAAACTACAAAAAAATTAGCCGGGCATGGTGGTGTGTGCCTGTAGTCCCAGCTACTTGGGAGGCTGAGGCAGGAGAATTGCTTGAAACTGGAAAACGGAAATTGCAGTGCATTGGGATCACACCACTGCACTCCAGCCTGCTGATAGAGTGAGACTCAGTCTCAATAATAATAACAACAACAAAGAATCCATTAGTTCATACTAATAGTTTTTGATGAAATTTTAAGTACTAACGAAACTCCTTTCTGTTCAAGAATGCAGAATAAATGATAACAGAAAAATCACCATTGAATGACCCACAGCCATCACGGTACTGTTGTGACGAGGGGTTTGGCATGGTGACATGTCATTGCAGAGTACACAAAATTCATTCTTGATTTAGGCAAGAATCAATAAAAGACACTAAAATGATTGAGTCAAAGATTCTTAAGGAATAGTAAATGCTGAAATCTAGAAGATACTGCCTTAACCAAACTATCAAACCAAACCTCATCAATAACAGAGCAGCTGACTCCAGGCTCCCCCTGGTGTGGTTCACTGAGGACCACTCGCCTAGGAAGCACTCCTGCCAAAAAAAAGAAAGTAACCAGAGTATAATCAGGAAGCAGCTCCGGGCAAACCCAAATTGAGAAGCGTTCTGCCGAAGAGTTAGCCTTGATTCTTCAAGAACATCCATGTCTACTGGGCATGGTGACTCACGCCTGTAATGCCAGCACTTTGGGAGGCCAAGGTGGGTGGATTGATCGAGCTCAGGAGTTCGAGACCAGCCTGTACAATGTGCTAAAACCACATTTCTACTAAAAATACAAAAAATTAGCCAGGTGTGGTGATGCATGCCTGTCGTCCCAGCTGCTTGGGAGGTTGATGTGGTGGAATCACCTGAGCCCAGGAAGTCAAGGTTGCAGTGAGCTGTGATCTCGCCACTGCCCTCCAGCCTGGACAACAGAATGAGACCCTGTCTCGGAAAAAAAAAAAAAGTCAGTGTCATAAAAGACAAAGGAAGGCTGGGGAAGTGACTCAGCCCCTGATCCTTGACTGGCTCCTGGGTCAAAGCAAAAGAGCTCTAGGTCAGGCGTGGTGACTCACACCTGTAACCCCAGCACTTTGGGAGGTCAAAGACGGGCAGATCACTAGGTCAGGAGTTCAAGACCAGCCTGGCCAAAATGATGAAACCCCATCTTTACTAAAAATACAAAAATTAGCTGGGCATGGTGGTGGGCGCCTATAGTCCCAGCCACTCAGGAGGCTGAGGCAGGAGAATTGCTTGAACCTGGGAGCCAGAGGTTGTGGTGAGTCTAGATCGTGCCACTGCACTCCAGCCTGGGCGACAGAGCAAGGCTCTGTCTCACAAACAAACAAACAAACAAACAAACAACTCTAAAGGACAATTTGCAGACTAAATGTATCATCGAGAAAGTGCAGAGTGTGGTGATTCCACTGAGGCTCTGCTGAAGAAAGCCCTTGTTCTTAGGAGGTGTTTGCTGAGAAGTGCTGTGATATATAACAAACTTGCAAGTGGCTTAACAAAAAATTGTGTGGTGTGTAAATAGGGACGGATCAAACAAGATAGATAAAACTGTCAACAATTGATTCGTGTAGGTGAAGAGTACATGGGTGTTCACGGTACTATTTTTGAAACCTCTCTATCGGTTTAGGTTTTTTTTTTTTTTTAGACGGATTCTTGCTCTGTTGCCCAGGCTGAAATGCAATGGTGCAATCTCGGCTTACTGCAATCTTTGCCTCCCAGGTTCAAGTGATTCTTCTGTCTCAGCCTCGAGAGTAGCTGGGATTACAGGCACTCGCCACCATACCTGGCTAGTTTTGGTATTTTTGCAGACACAGGGTTTCACGATGTCGGCCAGGCTGGTCTACTCTTGGCCTCAGGTGATCCACCAGCCTTAGCCTTTTAAAGTGCTGGGATTACAGGTGTGAGCCACTGTGCCTGGTGGTTTAGGAATTTTTTTAAAAAATGAAGGTGGGAGAATGGCCACTATGAAAGAAAAATAAATCTCAGGATTCCAAAATCACTAATCTAAGGGAAAAATCAAGTGGGGATCCTGTCTCCCATTTTAATTCCTGAATGAGATGGTTGTAAAGATGAGAGAGCTACATGCCTCCCTCACAATTTCCCGAAGGAAATTCCGTGTGGGCTTCAAGATCTTTGCCCTATTCAGGATCATGCCAAGAATTAAAAAAAAAACTTTTCTTTTTTCTTTTTGAGACAGTCTTGCTTTGTCACCAGGCGCCATGCCAGAGTGCAGTGGCACAATCTCGGCTCACGGCAACCTTCACCTCCTGGGTTCAAGCAATTCTCCTGCCTCAGCCTCCTGAGTAGCTGGGACTACAGGCACACACCACCACGCCCAGCTAATTTTTGTATTTTTTAGTAGACAGGGGGTTTCACCATGTTGGCCAGGATGGTTTCGATCTCTTGACCTCATGATCTGCCCGCCTCAGCCTCCCAAAGTCCTGGGATTACAGGCGAGAGCCACTGCGCCCAGCCAAAAAAAAAAAAAACTTTACCCTGAAAACAGTTCTATTGACCTTGACCCTGGCAATGTAAACTGACAGCTGATTTTAATAGGTGCAGGACAGAAAGTCATTCCTCTGCTCACCCGAAATTCTTGTCTAATTCAGCCCTACTGTTTATGTAAAAATGCAGACTCATTGAGCCAGACTAGATTGTGTATTCGCTGAATGGCTGATCAAGGACTCAAGAGATTGCAACCTGGCTGGGCACAGTGGCTCATGCCTGTAATCCCAGCAGTTTGGGAGGCCAAGGCGGGCAGATCACGAGGTCAGGCATTCGAGACCAGCCTGACCAACATGATGAAACTCCATCTCTACTAAAAATATCAAAATTAGCCAGGCATGGTGGCACATGCCTATAATCCCAGCTACTCAGGAGGCTGAGGCAGGAGAATCGCCTGAACCTGGGAGGTGGAGGTTGCAGTGAGCCAAGATGGCTCTACTGCACTCCAGTCTGGGCGACAGAGAGAGATGCCATCTCCAAAAACAAAAAAAAGGAATGCAATCTATTGCCTCTCATCTACCTATCTTGGAGTTGTCCTGCCTTACTGGATGGAACCAAAGTATATCTTACCTATATTAATCAATGCCTCATGTCTCCCTAAGATCTATAAAACCAAGCTGTACCTCAACCATCTTGGGCACATGTCACCAGGACTTCCTTGGCAAAATAAAGTTTTAAATTGGTTGAGACTTGTTTCAGATATTTTGGGTTTACTGCCACCACTAAAGGCTCTTGAGTTTACATATCCTCTGTTGAAGAGAGTGGGAGTTGGGGGTGGGGAAGGTATGGAATCAATTACTGCTCAATTCCACATCCCCACGTGCAGGTGTGAACACCTAAAGGGCTCACCTTGCCCACTGCCTAGTCAGAGCCAATTTATCAAGACGGGAATTGCAATGAAGAGTAATTCACACAGAGCTGGCCATGCAGGAGACCAGAGTTTAATTATTCCTCACATCAGTCTCCCTGAGCTGGTTTCTTTTGTTGTCAGTGTTGTGTTTGAGATGGAGTCTCTCTCTGTCACCCAGGCTGAAGGGCAGTGGCACGATCTCAGCTCACTGCAACCTCCGCCTCTGGGATTCAAGTGATTCTCCTCCCTCAGGCTCCCAAGTAGCTGGGATTACAAGCACCCGCTATCACGCCTGGCTAATTTTTTGTTTTGCTCGTAGAGACAGGTTTTGTCATGTTGACCATGCTGGTCTCGAACTCCTGAACTCAAGCGATCCACCCCGCCTGGTCTCCCAATGTCCGGGGATTACAGGTGTGAGCCACCACGCCCAGCCTGTGGATGGAAGTTTTTTAAAGATAATCTGGCCAGTAAGGGCTTAGGAAGTGGGGAATGCTGATTGGTCAGGATGGAGATGGACTCATAGCGGGGTTCAAGTGAAGTTTTCTTGCTGTCTTCTGTTACTGAGCGGGATTGCAAAGCTGGCTGAGCCAGGTGACTGGTCTGGGTGGTGTCAACTGATCCATCCAGTACAGAGTCTGCAAAATGTAACAAGCACTGATCTTAGGTTTTACAGTAGTGACGTGATCCCCAGGAGCAATTTGGGAAGGCTCAGACTCTTGTGGCAGAGACTGCGTGACCCTAAACCAAAATTTCTAATCTTGTAGCTAATTTATCAGTCCTACAAAGGCAGACAGGTCTCTTTTCAGGAAGGGGCTATTATCCATTTTGTTTCAGAGTCAAACCATAAACTAAATTCCTTTCCAAGCTCGGTTTGGCCTGTGCCCAGAAAGGGACAAGGACAGCTTAAAGGTTAGAAGCAAGATGGAGTCAGTTAGGTCTGACCTCTTGCACTGTCATAATTTCCCCAGTTATAATTTTTGCAAAGGTGGTTTCAGGGAGACTCCTTAGCCAGCTTCAGTCGGGGTGCTGATTGACTCTGTGCAGCTGAGGCCCAGGAGTGGGGTTAGGTTCCTGTAACAGACTGTGACCAGGATTGCCATGTTGAGCTGGGGAGGAGGCAGAGGTCTCTAACATGGGGGCCCTGTCTTGTGCTGGAGAGATATCCCAGTGAGTAGATAACCCCCTGCCCAGACCCTCCCCAACCTCCTGAAGGGACAGAGGAGCCTCGAAGTTCAGCTGTTTTGAGGCCATCCTCTGAGCAGAAGAGCTGGCATACTCTTTAGATGTCCCAGCTGGGCATGGGGGCTGAGACCCAAACACCTTTCTGCTTGGCCCAACCCTGGCTCCATCTGGACCGCCCCCATCCCCACACAGCCTCAGGAGCAAAGCCAGTGCCCAGAAATCCCAAAAAGGCTTTGTTGGTTTGCACCTGGTGGGGAATGACACGTTGAGCACCTATTCTGTGCCTCTCAATAACCTTCTGAGGGGGAAAGTTCTCCCCTTTTAAAAATGACACCGAGGGACAGGGAAGTTAAGGTCTGTCCAAGCTCATGCAGTCTGTAGGGGCCAACGCTGGGAGGACAGCTGGGGTCTGCCTAACCCCCAAGGGCCACACGCCCACATCACACCATCCTGGTCTTTATGCAGAGTAGCCAGGGAGGGGTCTGTGAGTCAGGAAGAAATCCTCTTCCACAGACCTGCCTCAGCCAGCAGACCCCCAGAGCAGATGGATGCCATGTCCTGGGCCAGGAAGAGCATTTGTTCCACAATGGAGGAGACCACTCCCTGCGTGGTCCTGGGAGCACTCAGACCTCTCGAAGGCCCCTCATGTTGCCTGCATCCCCAAATGCTAGAGCAGCCTGGGCCCCAGGTGGGAGCAGCTCCCTCCTAATGCTAGTCCTGGGGGCCCAGACCCTGGCCATCCCCTGGAATAAACAGAGTCCAAGGCCGGGGCAGAGGGGGAAGAGGAAGGAGGAAGAGCCATGTGGCAGGGACCAGGCACTTCCAACCAGGACCACCTGCTTGCTTCAAAGATGTGTCACATGACATGATGAAAGTAAAACATCTGGCACGCTGCTGATGCTTGTAGAAAAGCTCTTTACTTCCCTATTTCCTTCTTCAAAAAATTTATATTATATATATTATATATATAGATAGATATAATTTATTTGTTTATTTTTGAGACAGGGTCTGGCTCTGTCGTCCAGGCTGGACTGCAGTGGCGTGATCTCAACTCACTGCAAACCTCCACCTCCTGGGTTCAAACCATCCTCCTGCTTCATCCTCCGGAGTAGCTGGGATCACAGGCACGTGACACCACGCCCGGCTAATTTTTGTATTTTTAGTAGAGGTGGGGTTTCCCTATGTTGCCCAGGCTGGTCTTGAACTCCTGGCCTCAAGCAATCTTTCTGCTTCAAGGGGGCAATAATGATCATTATCAATCTAGCCAGGGCAGGCCCAAGCCCAATTTCCTTTAAGGGTTCCCTTCTGAACATCCTGTTCTCATTTAGACTTGGGAGGCAGGACTCAGCACCTGGCTTTTTTTCCATAGGTGGAGGTGATGGGCTGGTGAGGCTGAAGAGAAAGAGCCTCGGCCAGAACTCCAAACTCCAAAGCTGCCCCAGCTCCCGTCCCTCAGCCTTCCCGGCTGAAGTTTACGGCACAAAACCAGCGATTGTGGATTCTGGCATGCACTTGTGATTTTTTTTCCTGCTTCAGACCGTAATACACAGGGGATTTTCCGAGGCTGGAAAATGCGTCCTTCCCTTTCCCTCAGTTTGTGCCTTAGGCGGCCACGTCCAAGTTACTTTATCAGGATAAATCCTTAAGAAACAATTTCACTGTGAAGTACTCAAATGCAAGGCTTCCGGGAGCCCCTCGGGTCCAGGGCCCACGCCCTCAGAAGGGAAGCCTTCTGTCCCAGGCTGGAGACAGGCCGGGCGCTCTGAAACGGCACGAATGGGGCGACCCGGGAGCTCTGGTCCCGTTGAGCCTCTCCGGCCCAGGTCCCCACCTGTAAAACCCGGAGGGTGCACTCAGACCTTAGGGGGGCGTTCAGTGCCCTGCAGACTTATTTAATTCCTGAAATGCTTAGTGAGAGAAACTAAAACATTTGTAGGGAGCGAAAAATCCCGACAGAACGGCCCATCCCCCTGGGAGCTGCCTGTTTGCCGCTCTGCCCACCCTGTCCGTGGGAAAGCGGGACTGCCAGGGCGGCTTCCGGCAGCATCTAAATTCTCAGATCGCAGGAACGCGGAAAAGCAAAGCAGCGGCTGGTGGAGCCCGCAGGCCAGGGTGGGGCTGCGGCCCGGGGGCGGGGCGAGGAGGGGCGGGGCGGGGGAGGTTGGCCGGGGGACTGGGCTAGGTGAAGCCAACCGGAAAAGGCGAGCCTGGGGGCGGGGCGAGCCGGGACGGGTGGGGAAGGGGCGGCCCAGGGGGCGGGGTGAGTCCCGGGGAGGGCCGGAGCGAGGCGGTCCCGGAGGTGAGGGAAGCCGGGGCCGAGTGGACCTGGGGAGGGGCCGGAACGAGGCGGTCCCTGAGCACGGCGGGGCGGGGCGGGCCTGGCCGGGCGGTCCCCGGCGGGTCCCGGGAAGGCGGAAGGCTTAGGCGGAGCCGCGCCGCAGAGGCTGGGCGGTGGCTTCCCGCTCCGGCGACCCCGTGCCTGCGCCAGGCGCTATGGAGGCGGCGCTGCTGGGGCTGTGCAACTGGAGCACGCTGGGCGTGTGCGCCGCGCTGAAGCTGCCGCAGATCTCCGCGGTGCTGGCGGCGCGCAACGCGCGGGGCCTCAGCCTCCCGAGTTTACTTCTGGAGCTGGCGGGGTAAGGCCCGGGGCGGCCGAGGCTGTCTCCTTCCCCCTCGCGCTGCCGCCTGCTGGGAGCCTGGGAGAGCCTCGGCTCGAAGTAGGACGGGGACGCGCGGGCGTCGCAGCCGGGCGGCCGAGGGTGAACCAGGGAGCCTATGGGCTCGGGGTGCGCCTTCCAGGCTGCCCGCGTGCATCGTTTCTCACCAAGACCCGCGTGGCACGGATTGACTGCGCATGCCCATTTTACAGATGCGAAAACAGACCCAGCGGAGGCCGCCCTCGGTCCGCTGGTGACAAAACCTGCCGGCCCTGAGCGAGGCCATTTGCACCTCGAGGCTGTCATATTTATTGTCCCTAAACTCATCACGCTCCGTCAACCTCTTTCTCGGGACTCAGTTTCCTCACCTGTGAAATAAGGGGTTGAACTAAGAATAGATGAGTCTTCTCTCCCAGTGGTTAGTGGGGAATCTTCCTGGTTATTTGATGAGATTCCTTGGGAGCGGGTCTTAAGACAACTGCATTTCTTGTAGAAAGACCTTTCCTTACTCATCTATAAGGGTGTTGCAGAGTCCCTGCAGCTGGGAATGGGTGACGGAGAGGTCAGTAAGTCCTTGATTCTCAGGCAGCTTCTAAGATTCAAAGTATTCCGCGTGTGAGAGCACCAGACTTTTGGGGTATCATTTTCTGAGCCCCAACAATAGAAAACACATACCTGAAACTAGTGGTCTTGCCCCTTCCCCCTGGCCAAGCCTGGCCCTCGACTTTGCTCCCCACCATCACTCAGCGGGTCCAAAGGCTCAGTGGTCCTCCACACACAAGCCTTCCTGGAGCCGGGGGGTTGGGGGGGAGGTGGTGTCCCGGGATACAGGATGGGAAGAAGCCAAGTAGTGCGGGGGAGAAAGAGAAGACCTCAGAGGTGGGAGGGTGAGGGGTCCCACCCAAGCTCGAGCCCACGCAGGCCCTGTGGAGCTGGTCCCTGGGCACAGTCATCCAATGCAGGGTCTTGAGGGGAAACTTTGGGAAAGGCTTGCAGTGCGAGGGGCTGTGACACCTCCCAGGCTTGTGAGTGACTTTACCCTGCAGGAAGAGAGTAGAGAGGGTGTCCCAGGCTGGATGGCAGGGTTCAGAGGCACCCAGGGGATGGGGGCAGTATGTGTTTCAAGTTGGTGCCACCACCAGGCTGGGAGTAGAGAGGCTGGAGGGATGAGGTTGTGGCAAAGGACACAGACTGGAAGTGAGAGGGGTCAAGGGCACGAAAGCCAGGAGTGGGATTTGGCCTCAGCCCCATGCTAGGTCCCTGAGCTGGGGAAGCTGAAGCTGGACCCATGGAGGGAAAGAAGTCAGCCAGCCTATAGAGTCCCTCCTGCCACTGGCTCCTGGGCCTGCTTTTCCACCACCTTTGTACCACTGCTTGAAAAATGCAAACCCTCAGAGGGGACACACAGGTGAGGGCTCATATTAGATCTGTCAGCTGTCACCTCTCAGCTCACCTTGGTGAAAGCCCAACCTCTGGCAGTGGACGGGTCTCCCTGGGCAGGGGAGCCCGAGGTGGGGGTGGGGCCGCGGCTTGCTGCCATTTCTCCTGGCCTGTCTGAGGGGCTTGCTGTTGATCACGAGCAGGGAAAGGGGGCTCTGTCAGGGCTGGCTCACCAGCTCTGCAGCCCTCAAGCCAGGGCCAGGCACACTTCTGTGAATAGGCTTGGCTGTGCAGGGCCAACCGCAGTGCCATCCTCCCCCAGAAGGCCTGCTGGAAGGGATCAGGGCTCCACCCTTGCTGAGTGCCAGTAGATTTGATCTCACCACCAGCATGTGATTCTAATGGGTGGCACTGCCTGAGCATTCTTGCATGTTGACTCTGTCTGTGCATTGTATAAACTATCATGAATTATAGTCTCATTTAATCGTCACAACAGCCTGAGGACAAGGGGAGCCTGAGTTAGGGTGGTAAGGAGCCTGTGGCAGCAGCAGGCTGGGCAGCCCAGCGGGGTACTGGCCCTCCATTCTCCCTGCCTGCCTCCCTCATGTCCTTCCTAGCCTTGCCTAGGAGGCCTGCCTGGGGCTTGGGTGGTTAAGTGGCTGGCCCCATTCCCCAGGGAACCAGGCCTGCCAGCGGAGCCCCGGGCCACTGACCAGACAGAGGCAGCTGCCAGAGTTAGAGGAAGGAAGCCCAGGGCTGTCACAGTCAGCTGCCTGGAGGGCACGGGCCCTCCTGGGGCTCCATTTGAGCAAACTAAGAGCCCGGTTTTGAGAGCATTGAGTCCACTGGATCTTTTTAGTGTGACCTGGTGTCAAGGGCAGGAGCCTCTGCCCCCACCACCTAGGGGCAATTCTTATGGCTGGGCCTTCCTCCTCCCCTGGTTCCCAACCTTGCTGCTTCTCAGGCTTGCTGGTGGCCTCCTGCCCTGCCTCCAGGGCTCTGCTGGGCTCTGCTTCCCTCTGCTCTCTGCAGCCTGGGGCGTCCTGGAGGACAGGACCCATCAGACCTGCCCCGCCTGCAGCCTTCCATGGACAGTGGCCCTCCCCTAGTGGCCCCTTAGGCTGTAGAAGCCTTGGCCTCTGGGTAGGGTGCCTTTGGAGCCCACCCCTTGCTCCAGGTCACTTGCTCCCCAGCCTGGGTGAGGTATATTTTGTTTAACCCTCTAGCAGGTGTTGAGGGAGGAAACTCCATTGGAGCAGATGGGAATGGAAACAAATGGGGCTGTGTCAGATGCCCAGCTGGCATGATTTTATTATGATGAGCATTTTAGCGATTACTTATTAATTAAAAGAAATTTTAATGGGCCAGGCTTGGTGACTCACGCCTGTAATCCCAGCACTTTGGGAGGTCCAGGCGGGCAGATCACCTGAGGTCAGGAGTTCAAGACCAGCCTGGCTAACATGGTGAAACCCCATCTCTACCTAAAATACAAAAATTAGCCAGGTATGGTGGTGCACACCTGTAGTCTCAGCTACTTGGGAGGCTGAGGCAGGAGAATCAATTGAAGCTGGGAGGTGGAGGTTGCAGTGAGCTGAAATTACACCACTGTACTCCAGCCTGGGCAACAGAGCAAGACTCCATCTCAAAAAAAAAAATTTAAAAACTAAAGACACTGCCTACACCTCCCCAGGCTTCAGGGGCAGCGGCGAGTTTGAGTCCCAGGGAAAGCAGGGAATAGAGGACAAAGCCTGCAGGGGTGGTGACGGCTGCATCTAGGTCAGCGTTAGGAAACCCAGGCTCTTCATTGAATATGTTCTTGGTGTCTTTGGCCTCCATTTCCCCAAGTGGTCTGTGAGATGTGGAAACCAGCATGGATGACCCCTGGAGGTGAGAACCGGCTCTGACATTCCCAGATTCTCACTCCTGACCTGCGGCCTGTGGCTGCATCCCAGGGGTTGGCACACAGTTCACTGGTGAAGACCCCCATAGCCTTTGTTCTAGCACATTCCTTCAGCACCCCACGGCTGGCTGTGGCCCCGCAGAGGGGCTGGGGTGCAGCATCCCTCTCTGCTAGTCCCCCTGGGCTTACTCTCACAGGGGAACAGCGGGGCTGCTCAGGAGGCTGGCAGGAGGGGAGTCTCTGCAGCCCGGCTGGGCTAGGCAGAGGTGCTGCTTATCCCTGAAGCTGGGAGGTGGCCCAGCTGCAAAGCACCCCGAGGGCCTGCAGGCAGCCAGGGATGGAAACACTGCTGGGCATGCTGGGGGCCTCCAATTGAGGACCAGGCCTGTGGGAGGCCCTCGTGCCCAAGGTGACACTGGGCTCTGGCCTCCCATCCTATGTCCTTTGACCTCCTCCAACTCTGCCCCTAGTTAAGTTGTACGCTGTCAGAAATAGGCCAGGGAGGCCTGTTTGTGAATGGGGCTTTTCCAGGTTCCTTCCCAGCTTAGCAGATCGGAGACCCCGGGGCCTCTCCTGTGTATTGAAGTCTCATGGTTCTGGCTCCCTTTTCTTCCTTTCCCGAGTGGTCTGAACACACATGTGAGAGGGAGGGTGTTGGGACAAGCAGGCAGGCCGAGGCTACTACGGGGATTCCGGTCCTGAGGGAGGAGATGGCTGAGTGTGAGCCAGGGAGGCAGGAAGCTCTGCCTTTTCTTTTGAGAAGGTGGGACCCTCGTGACTTCCTAGCATCCACACAGAGCTGGAATCTTCTTAGAGAAATTGAGGGTGGTTCTTCATGCGTTTCCCCACTGCGCTCTCAACAGGGCAGCTCTTCTGGAAGGCAACTGGAGTATCCATGTGCTGTTCTAACTCTTAAAACACGGCCACAGACTCCTATCCAGGGATAGCTGCAGCCCCTTGGATTCTTGCGCCTCTCAGCTTCTCAGGGTGGAGGGCAGATGTGTGCAGCAGCTGAGGGGCAGCTGCCAGGGTCAGTGAGCACCCAGCGTGGCAGGCAGGCCAGCAAGCATGGGCCTAGAGCAGTCTCATATTCCTGCTCAGGGATTTGCCTTCTGTAAAAATCCTTTGTAAGAGACCATCTCAAGGCATTGGATAGAGACTGTGGCCTGGTGCCCGGTAAGTTCTGGATGCTCCAAAAATTGTATAGATGATTCCACTGAATTCCATCTATTTTGTTCTAAACCGCCTTCTTTGACACTGGGGAGTCTACACCACCACTGGGAGGATTTAGCAAACTGACCTGTGTGCCGGGTGCCTGTCAGGCCCCGATGGCTGCATTTTGGGGCAGCCGTGTGGACCCATGCCCTCCTTTCTCCAGGTTCCTGGTGTTTCTCCGATACCAGTGTTACTATGGGTATCCGCCACTGACCTACCTGGAGTACCCCATCCTCATCGCACAAGGTAACAGCCCCTTCCCTGTCCGACGGGCTGCCGCAGTCTCCCCTGCCTCCCTCACTCGGAGCCTCTCTCTTTCAGATGTCATCCTCCTGTTCTGTATCTTTCATTTTAACGGGAACGTGAAGCAGGCCATGCCCTACGTCGCTGCGTATCCTTTCTGAATTTGAGCCAGAAGTGAGAATGGGGGTATTTGCAAATAGTATGTACCATCAAGTGGGCTCCTTTACCAGATGAATATTTTCTGATTAAATTTTAAAAAATCCCAAATGCAAATGTGCCCACACACACTAGAGATGCCCTCAGTAGAGCCCCTGCTGCCCCTCCAAGATCAGCATGCCCTGGGCGGTGCCAGCAGGCCGGGTGGAAGGCAGCCTGGGTCTCCGTGCTTGGCGTGCAGAATGGTAGAGTCCATTCCTGCTAAGAGCAGCAGCATCCAGCTGCGTTAGTTCATCTGAGACGTTTCTTCCTACCCTGATAACGTCCCCCAAGGATGGGAAGCAATAATAATGAGAGTGTCTGGTGCTTCTCAAGATGTTAGCTTAGAGGCTGAGCCTAGAGGTCTGAGCAGCCATCGGTGGAAGCTGGGTCAGCTGACACACATGTGTCCACTCAGTGGCATTTCCTGGCTTCATTTCAGTTCTCTTTGTAAAGACTTACTAGTTGAAAATTGCACTCCTTAAAAAGCCAGGAGAAGTGTTTTTTTTTTTTTTCCCAGATGGTCTCACTTTGTGGCCCAGGCTGGATTGTGGTGGTGCCATCCAAGCTCACTGCAGCCTTGACCTCCTTGTTCAAGCTTGATTGCCTTGATCAAGGGATCCTCCTGCCTCAGCCTCCCGAGTAGCTTGGACTATCAGAGTGTGCCACCATGCTCAGTTAGTTTTAAACATTTTTGTAGATATGAGGTCTCACTATGTTACCCAGGCTGTAAGATGTTTTAATCTTTTTTTTGAGATGGAGTTTTGCTCTTGGCTGGAGTGCAGTGGCGTGATCTCAGTTCACCACAACCTCTGCTGCCTTGGGTTGAAGCGATTATCCTGCCTCAGCTTCCTGAGCTGGGATTACAGGCATGCACCACCACACACAGCTAATTTTTGTATTTTTAGTAGGGACGGGGTTTCTCCATTTTGGTCAGGCTGATCTTGAACTCCCCACCTCAGGTGATCTTCCTGCCTAGGCCTCCCAAAGTGCTGGGATTACAGGCATGAACCACTACTCCCGGCCCAACAAAGCGTTTTGAATGGCAGTAGCTGTCAGCCTGTCCTGCCACATCTGAGAAATCGCCTGAGCTGTTTCTTCCCATGCCTTCTTCAGAGTGGAGGACGGAGGGCAGAGCCAGGCCTGTGGCACAAGTGACCTCAGTGCAGGCCATGAGAATGTGGGTGTGGTGTGAGGGGAACACCTGGGCTGGAGTCAGGCGGGACAGGTCCCCACCACAGTAGGGGTGGCTTCAGCATATGCCACAAGCTCTACGCTGCATGTTCGACATCTGTGGCATGGGATCCTAATGCCTACATTTTAGGGCTGTTGTGAGAGCTAGAAGTACCAGGAACACAGTCAAGCTGAGGAAATGACAGGGTCATCGTGGTGATTTTACTAGAAGGGGGGCTCTGCAGCCTGCCTCTGGAGGGAGCTGGGTTCCGGCTGAGTCTTGACCCTCTGCTCTTTCCCCGAGTGGTAAGCTCTGCTGCCTCAGTTTCTCTCTGCAGAAAGGGATCACACAGCTGTACTGCACCTCAGCACTTCACCGCCAGTGCCAGCTGGTTAAAGGCTTTGGTAAACAGTGCTTTGAAGATGAAAAGGATGTTACGATTTACTTTTGAAATAAAATGCCACAGCTTTATGCAAATGGCTAGGCTGCAGATTTGCAGATTAGCAAATGTGGGTGCTGGTGGCACCGGGAGATGATCACGTAGCTGGATGCTGATGGTGATTCTGTAATATCAGCAAGATGCTTATGATCTCCCATTGGTTGTGATTTACAGAGAGCAAAAGAATAGGGTTGCCATATTAATGAATACTTTTAAATATAGGTGTGTCCCCAGTATTGCATGGGATATACTTCTACTGAAAATTATTGGCCAGATGCAGTGGCTCATGCCCATAATCCCGTGTGTTGGGTGTTTGAAATGGGAGATCATTTGAGGCCAGGAGTTTGAGACTAGCGTGGCTAATACAGTGGGATTCCCTAGTGCTACAAAAAAACGAAGGAATCTGAGCCAAGCATGGTGCCTCACACCTGTCTCAGCTACTCGGAAAAAGTTATTTGTTTTCCACCTGAAATTCAGATTTAACTGGGTGTCCTGTATTTTTATTTGTGAAATCTGGCAACTCTACAAATAAATTATCTGTAGGATCTCAGGAGCTCCTACTAATGGTCAAATTTTATAAAATGTATATTCAGAATACACAGAATGAGGTGGGGTAGAACAGAATTGGTTGGGGGAAGAATCACAAAAATTAGTTTAAAAAATTATGTTAGTGCCTGTGTGCAGTGGCTCATGCCTGTAATCCCAGCACTTTGGGAGGCTGAGGCGGGTAGATCATCTGAGTTTGGGAGTTTGAGACCAGCCTGACCAACATGGAGAAACCCTGTCTCTACTAAAAATACAAAAATTAGCTGGGCGTGGTGGCGCATGCCTGTAATCCTGCTACTCAGAAGGCTGATGCAGGACAATCGCTTGAACCTAGGAGGCGGAGGTTGCAGTGAGCTGGGATGGCACTATTGCACTCTAGCCTCAGCAATAAGAGCAAAACTCCATCTCAAAAAAAAAAAAATTGAGTTCGTGTTTTAAAAACAGGATTCCATCCAGCTAGCTTCAAACTACCTTCTGGTGTTGAGCAGGCTGAGGATTAAGTTCCACTGACTTAGCACAGGGCATTGTCTGTTTCAATATCTTTATTTAATTAATGTTTTAAATGATAATAACAGCGGTCTCTGGAGGCATTTGAGAGGTAGATAGGGTAAAGAATGTTGAATCTGTTTTACAGACAAAAAATCAGGGTGGAAAGATGGCAAGTGACTTCCATCCCCGTCCGGCCCTGGCCCCTGTCTCCCAGCTGCTTGCTCAGCTTCCTAGCTGGGCTCTGTTTCTGTGGCATCACAGAGCTCTGGGCACATGCCTGACTCCTGACGTTGCCCACGCCAGCTGTATCATCTTTACAGTGGAGTTAGTGGGAAAAGTGGAAATCAGTAAACGGAAGTTCACATCACACCAATTTTGTAGAACATTCCTGCTTTCTAATGTTGGACTTCTCTATTTATTTATCTGTTTATTTGAGATGGGATTTCACTTTCATTACCCAGGCTGGAGTGCAGTGGCATGATCTCAACTCACCGCAATCTCTGCCTCCTGGGTTCAAGTGATTCTTCTGCCTCAGCCTCCCCAGTAGCTGGGATTACAGTTGCCCACCACCACACCTGGCTAATTTTTGTATTTTTAGTAGAGACAGGGTTTCACCATGTTGGTCAGGCTGGTCTCGAACTGTTGACCCCAGGCGATCCACCCGCCTCAGCCTCCCAAAGTGCTGAGATTACAGGTGTGAGTCACCGCACCTGGCCCAACTTCTCTTTTAAGTGCTTAGCTTTTAACCATAAATTGGAGATGTCCGCATGATCAGGAATTCAGTGGGCAGTGAAAACCACTAGGAATGTCCCAATCCTAGGAAGCAGTCCATGAGCATGGGTGTCTTGCTTTTGTTTTTTGAACTCCGAGCAGATGTTCACTTACAACTCTTTTTGTCCCTTCCAAATCTGGCAGGTTCTGGTGGTGTGTCCCCTGCTCCCCTCTGGCTTCCGTGTGTGGGTCTCTGTGGTCTTGGTTTGTGTCCCTGAGATGGGAGGGTGGCGGGGATGTGGGCGACCCACTGCTGTGTTCCTTAGCACTTGGTAAGACTGGCATCTTCTTGGTTCGTCCTCGCCCTGCAGAAGTGGATCATAGACCTGGCCATGGTAAGGATTGTGCTTGAAAAGAAACGAGGGCGAATAAGCACCTTGGAGAGAATTTGATAGATGAAATGTTTAACCTGCTAATTTTTCAGCCATGCTAGGGGATAATGGGAATGAAAGTGAAGTGCTGTCCAAATATGAAAAGACATTCTTCTTATTTAAATGCAGGACAAAACAATGTTTAACTTCGTTTTGTTGGGCCATAGAGAACCAGATTGGAGAGGTGGCTAAAAGTTTATCTATTTATTTATTTATCATTTTATTTTATTTTATAGTTTTTTGAGACAGAGTCTTACTCTTGTTGCCCAGGCTGGAGTGCAATGGCGCAATCTCAGCTCCCCGCAACCTCCACCTCCCAGGTTCAGTCAAGCAGTTCTGCCTCAGCCTCCTGAGTAGCTGGGATTACAGGCATGCACCACCACGCCTGGCTAATTTGGTATTTTTAGTAGAGACAGGTTTCTCCATGTTGGTCAGGCTGGTCTCGAACTTCCAACTTCAGGTGATCCGCCCTCCTTGGCCTCCCAAAGTGCTGTGATTACAGGTGTGAACCACCATGCCTGGCCTTATTTATTTATTTATTTTATTATTTTTTTTTTTTTGAGACGGAGTTTCACTCTTGTTACCCAGGCTGGAGTGCAATGGCGCAATCTTGGTTCACCGCAACCTCCGCCTCCTGGGTTCAGGCAATTCTCCTGCCTCAGCCTCCCGAGCAGCTGGGATTACAGGCACGCACCACCGTGCCCAGCTAATTTTTTGTAATTTTAGTAGAGACGGGGTTTCACCAAGATGGTCTCGATCTGTTGACCTCGTGATCCACCCGAGGCCTCCCAAAGTGCTGGGATTACAGGCTTGAGCCACCACGCCCGGCCCCTTATTTATTTATTTTTGAGATGAAGTCTTGCTCTGTTGCTCAGGCTGGAGTGCAGTGGCACGATCTTGGCTCACTGCAGCCTCTGCCTCCCAGGTTCAAGTGATTCCCCTGCCTCAGCCTCCTGAGTAGCTAGGATTACAGGCATGTCCCACCACCATGCCCGGCTAATTTTGTATTTTTAGTGGAGATGGGGTTTCACCATGTTGGCCAGGCTGGTCTCGAACTCCTGACCTCAGGTGATCCACCCGCCCGAGCCTCCCAAAGTGCTGGGATTCCAGGTGTGAGCCACCGCACCTGGCTGCTAACAGTTTTAAAATGAAGAATTAAACATCGGTTAAAGAGCTCCTTCTTAGGTTCTTAATTGCATGTTGGCCTTGTCCGGGAGAAGGGCTGATTATTTTTTCATACTTGGGCCGAAAATCTTTAAGGGGTTCTGAGGGTGGTTCAGGATGTGTTTAACCACAGACCTCTCCAAGGTGACGGAAGTGAACATTTCCACCCAACGAGAAAAGGAGGAGGAGAACTGATTGGTGGCCACAGGGCTCTGTCTGCCACACCCAGACTCATGAATTTCTTTCCCTTTTCCCCCACTATCTTGTCTGTGATCCTGTCTTGGAAAGTGGAGTCGATTCTCTGTTACATTTCAACCCTGTGATTTCAGAGAGCAAATAAGTAGGGTTGCCATGTTAACAAGGAACACTTTGGACAAGTATGTCCAAAATATTGCGTGGTGCCAAGCATGGTGGCTCACGCACCTTGGGAGGCTGAGGCAGGCGGATTACCTGAGACCAGGAGTTCAAGACCAGCCTGGCCAACATGGGAAACCCCATTCTCTACCAAAAGAAAATACAAAATTAGCTGGGCACGGTGGCAGGCACCTGTAATCCCACCTACTTGGGAGGTTTGGGTAGGAGAATTGCCTGAACCCAGGAGGTGGAGGTTGCAGTGAGCCAAGATCACACCAGTGCACTCCAGCCTGTGGGTGACAGAGCAAGACTCCATCTCAAAAAACAAACAAACAAAAAACAAAATATCACACGGGACATACTTGTACTAAAACATTATTCGTTGTTTATGTGAAACTCAAATTTAACTAGGCATCCTGTATTTTTATTTGCCAAATCTCACAACCCTGTAAATGAGCCATCTCTATGTTCTCAGTAGCTCCTACTCCTATTTGAGTTGGGGTGGTTCTAGTTTGGGGGTGATTAGCTCTGTTATAGCACCTGTGAGCCTTCACCCCTCAGGAACCATCCTTCCAGCAATGTTGAGATATCGGCTTGTCAAGCATGGCCGGGCCCAGTGGCTCACGCCTGTAATCCCAGCACTTTGGGAGGCTCGGGCAGGTGGATCACCTGAGTTCAGGAGTTAGAGACCAGTCTGGTTAACATGGTGAGACCCTGTCTCTACTAAAAATAGAAAAATTAGCCAGGTGTGTGGTGCATGCCTGTAGTCCCACCTACTTGGGAGGCTGAGGCAGGAGAATCACTTGAACCCGGAGGTGGAGGTTGCAGTGAGTCAAGATCGCACCGTTGTGCTTCAGCCTGGGTGACACAGTAAAACTCTGTCTCATAACGAGAAAAAGAATGAAATTCAGGGGTCAAGGGCAACAACAGCTTTTTGGTGTTTCTTCTGTGCCCTTGGCAGTAGCAGTCTATTCTAACCACACATTGATGGTATATTATTTCATGAAGTATAAATTTGATTTTTTCCTTCATCATGCAAGTCTGAACACAGGCGTGGCGCTGTGTCTGCCCATAGCCCTCCTTCATGACTCAGTGAGTGTTCTTTGCACACCTGCTCTGAGGTGCCAGGACCTGGGGCACAAGGTGGCCCAGATATGAGGGGTGCGGAGCCCCAGTGCAGGAGAACGAGCCAGGCCTTCAGAGCTACACATTGTAGCAAACCCCCAGAATCCTAGAGAGGGCAGGTGCTGCTTGAATCAGTGGAAATCCTCCATTGTAGAATGTTCCATGTTTTTGCTTTCAAATGCAGGTACCCAAGATCGTTTCCCCAGAAGTCCTAAAGTGTGCTTTCATGGTTAAATTGATAATTCATATACTCATGGTTTATTCCCAAGAAAAGATTAAAGTACTTAAAGATGATCTCCAGAACAGTGAAGCATCCCCTCTCTTTCCCAGTCCTGTTCCTATAGTAGACTCTGTTTTCAGAAAATCCTAATTGTGTCCCGTTTAATTGACGTGATAAGTCATTCCAGGGCTCAGTTAGGGCCCAAACCAACACGACTCCAGGCCTGGAAATGTGGCTTTGCTCTTGAACGATGAATCTGGTAGAAGATCCAGGAGGCAAGCTTGTGTGTAGCACAAGCGAGTCGTAATGTGGTCTGGGGCCCTGAGGTGTGTGAACCAAGCCAGCTTCCGCCACTCTCCCACTCCCACACTGACTCCTTGCTGCCCCACCCAGCCAGTGTCCTGGTGAGTTCTCTGGTGCGAGTCTTCCCCTGCAGTCCTCCCTCCTCTGCTCTGCCCAGGTCTCCTGATTACACAAGAGCCTCTCCTCGCAGGTCTCCCTGCCAGGGGTCAGCCATCCTCTAAGCCATCTGCACCCAGCTCCCAGGGTGACCTTAGTCCTGCCACGGGCCTGACCACAGGTCCTTGGTCATCTCCTTTGCCCAGGAATATTCCCTGCCATTCCCTTCTCCATAATTCCCTCCTCCTTTTTTTTAATTTAGAGGCAGAGTCTCACTCTGTTGCCCAGGCTGGAGTGCAGTGGTGTGATCTCAGTTGACTGCAACCTCTGTCTTCTGGGTTCAAATGATTCTTCTGCCTCAGCCTCCTGAGTAGCTGGGACCACAGGTGAATGCCACCATGTCTGGCTACTTTTTGTATTTTTTGTAGAGATGGGGTTTTACCATGTTGGCCAGGCTAGTTTGAACACCTGGCCTCAAGTGATCCTCCTGCCTTGGCCTCCCAAAGTGTTGGCTCACAGGCGTGAGCCACTGTGCCCGGCCTCAGTTACTTTTTATTGGAGGTGTGGATAGATGAAGCTCTGTGGCCATGCATTGATTCTTTCTCATTCCCAACTTCAAACTAGCCCTAGATGTTAGTTACCCAATGCACAGTGGAATCCATGAGTTATAAATAAATGTCTTAGACTGGGCGTGGTATCTAATGCCTATAATCCCAGCACTTTAGGAGGCCGAGGCAGGTGGATCAGGAGGTCAGGAGTTTGAGACCAGCCTGACCAACGTAATGAAACCCTGTCTCTACAAAAAAATACAAAAATTAGTTGGGCATGGCGGCGCGTGCCTATATTCCCAGCTACTCGGGAGGCTGAGACAGGAGAATTACTTGAACCTGGGAGGCTGAGGTTGCAGTGAGCCGAGATCACGTCATTGCACTCCAGCCTGGGTTACAGAGTGAGACTCTCTCTCAAAATAAATAAATAAATAACTATTGCATTCTCTTTCACCAAACTTAGGTTTCAGCTGTGTACAAATCCATTATAATTTTGACCTGAAAATTTGGCTTCAAAAGTGCTTCGAGTATCTGGTGCTCTTTTGCTTGTTTAACAAATGGACTTGTGACTTTCTCACATTTTATCTGTAAACAGAATTTCTGTACTTTCATCAGCGCGGCCAGTAAGTTTACGCAGCTCCAGTGTCTGTGGAAGACGAGAGACTCGGGAGCGGTGAGTGCGCTGACTTGGAGCCTCTCCGCCTACACCTGCGCAAGTAAGACCCGGACTCAGACGGTGGGGAGGCCTCGGGTAGCACCACGTGTCTGCCTAGTAGGGTGTTTAGTTGGTGTTGAAGTGACGTGGTCCCTGGCACTTACAGCTATTCAGCTAGAAACTCCTAAGTGTATCCATATTTACAAAGACGACAACGCACACTGCTCTTCATTTTCTGTGAGATCTAAGTTGCCAAGAAAAGTGAAAGCATATTTTTCTCCAGAAATCTGGCCTAATATTAATAGTTCTCTCTTCTTTGAAAAGCATCAAGAGGTTGTATATTGAATGTACTAGTTTATCTTAAAAATTTGAATCTTTATGATATAAGAAGTTTTAAAAGCTGAAAGTTGTACAGTGACTTTTGAGAATGACTAGGGTGTGTAGCAGTGGAGATTTCTGGCAGTCACATTGTTTGGTCTCAACTTTAGAATTTTCTCTGTTCATTTGGATTCTTACAAAAACTACCTAAAATACATATATGGTATATGTAGGTAGAAACATAATTCAGAGTAGCTGGAATTACAGGCATATATCATGCCTGGCTAATTTGTGTATTTTTAGTAGAGATGAGGTTTTACCATGTTGGCCAAGCTGGTCTTAAACTCCTGACCTCAGGTGATCCACCTGCCTTGGCCTCCCAAAGTATTGGAATTACAGGTGTGAGCCACTGCACCCAGCCAACTTTTTATAGAGACGGGGTCTCAGTATGTTGGCCAGGCTGGTCCCAAACTACTGGGCTCAGGTGTTCATCCTACCTCAGCCTTCCAAAGTGTTGGGATTACAGGTGTGAGCTACTGCACCTGGCTCTGTATGTTTTCTTTGGAGAAATATCTATTCAGATCCTTTGCTCTTTTTTTTTTGAGATGGAATCTCCCTCTGTCACTCAGGCTGTGGGACAGTGTGGTGATCTTGGCTCACTGCAACCTCCACTTCCTGAGTTCAAGTGGTTCTCCTGCCTCAGCCTCCCAGAGTAGGTGGGACTATGGCAGGCATCCCCATGCCTAGCTAACTTTTTTTTTTTTTTGTATTTTTGGTAGAGACAAGGTTTCACCATGTTGGCCAGGCTGGTCTTTAACTCTTGACCTCAGTTTTGTTTTGTTTTTTTTTTTGAGACAGAGTTTCGCTGTTGTTACCCAGACTGGAGTGCAATGGCACGATCTCGGCTCACCACAACCTCCGCCTCCTGGGTTCAAGCAATTCTCCTGCCTCAGCCTCCCGAGTAGCTGGGACTACAGGTGTGCACCACCATGCCCAGCTAATTTTTGTATTTTTTGTAGAGATGGGGTTTCACCATGTTGTCCAGGCTGGTCTCCAGCACCTGACTTCTAGTGATCCACCTGCCTCGGCCACCCAAAGTGCTAGGATTACAGGTGTGAGCCACCGTGCCTGGCCCTTTGCCCATCTTTTAATCAGATCGTTTGTTTGAGCTTCTTACATGTTTTGGTCATTAACTCTCACCAGATGTGTGGTTATTAACAGCCTTTTAAAAAGTTTGCTTGAGAGTCCTTGTTGGCCACTTCCCTAACTGAAGTCTTCTATTTATATGATCGTTTTCTTCCATTTAAATTGATGATTTAATCAACTATTTATATGGGGGTGTCTGTGTGTAAAGCCTTGATTTATCAAATGTGTCAACAAAACATGTTATAGGATTTGGTCTCTGCCCTTGAGGGGCTTGCAGTTTAGTTGGAAGATTGAGACCAAAAAACTACGATGTCAGTACGTGCTGAGTGCAGACTGCGCTGGCGGAGAGAGAGGCTCTGACGGGCTGGTTCTGGCCTAGGAGAGGCAGGCCTGGAGCTGCGGGCAGTGGTCTTCCTCAGCTCCCAAATCGTGCTGCTCTCTGCTTTCGTGTTTTGCTTTAAGCTGTTACTCCAGTTTCCTAAATGTTTCCTAAGGGAAGGGCTATACCACACCAGTGAACTAAACAAAGTAGTTCTAGTTAGACCCTTGGAAAAAGTCTTCCCCTTTGCTGGCCCTCAGTTTCCTTATCTATAAAATGCAAGGTTAGAATTCACTGATTTGAAAACACTGTTTTCCATTAGTTGGAGCTTTTCTTTAAAACTACGCAGACGCTCCATTTGTAAATAAGAATTGTTAGACTTGCTTTTGGAGGGTGGAATTTTGCAAGTTAGCACAGAGACAGTGGAAGGGAGCTCAGCCCTTCCGGGTTTCCCCGGGGGGCAGCGCTCATGCACTGTCAAAGCACATTCCCTTACGAGTAGTTTTAAAACCACTGGGGTGGGATGCATGGCTGTTTTGTTTTGAGATGGAGTCTGGCTCTGTCACCCAGGCTGGAGTGTTTTGGTGTAATCTCAGCTCACTACAGCCTCCCAAGTAGCTGAGATTACAGGTGCCCGCCACTACACATGGCTAATTTTTGTATTTTTAGTGGATACAGGGTTTTACCATGTTGGCCAGGCTGGTCTCAAACTCCTGACCTCAGGTGATCTGGCATTTCTGGGTTTTAATATAGTTATGAAATACAGCACTATCTGGTTTTCTGTACCACCAAACTTTTATCAAGAATAGTTAATATGTATTGGTAAAAACATAAAAATAAAAATAATTAGAAAATAATAGTCTATTTATATTGGGATACTAAAAGGGAAGGACATTATTAACTAAACCCCAAAATGTCTGAGAGGCAAGTTATTTATGCTGCACATTTTCTTTTACAGCAAGAATAATCACAACCTTCATGACCACCAACGATTTTACAAGTAAGTAAAAGATCTTCTTCTCACTTCCTCTCCGAGTTTTGTGGTACTTTAAACTGTCTTTGGGTTTAATGGATGGACTTGGCTCTACTGGATTATGGATTTAGAAGATAGCAATAATGTATATCTGGTCTTACTGGTCACCATTTTTATTATTAAGCTCTCTTATAGTACAGGGAATAGAATATGCACAAGATAGCAGATTCCTGTCTCCATGGAATTGCTATGGAATTGGACATGAGGTAATCACACAATTCCCTATTGAATTATCAGGGGCCATGTTTTGGAAGAGTAGAGCAGGATGAGCATCTAAGGAGAACCTGGCCTAGTTTGAGGGAGCTGGGCAGATTAACTTGAAGAAGAGTGATCGTAAGGCTAAGAGGTTTAGCCAGAAAAAATGTTGTGGGGGACGGGGAGGCAGGGGAGGCCAGACTCTTAGAAGGAGCAGTGTATGAAGGTGAGCAAAGGACAGAGGGCTAGAGTGCGGAGAGCAGGGGACAGCGACAAGTGGGTAAGTTTCAGGAGAGGAAGGATATGAGGCTGGCAGTGGCCCAAGTATCCAGGGCTTACGAGAACTGCCTACAAACAGGAGGAAGCCTCCGGAGGCTTTGAAGCAGGGAAGTGGTGTCACCAGTGGACTATGTTCTTGTTCTGTTTCTTTAAAAGGAAAAGCTGTGATGGAAGAGGAAATACTTTGATTAACCACAAAGAATTTAGTAATTCCTTGGGCTGTTTTCAACTCCCCAATCAAGCATATATGATACATCTTTGGAAATGATTAGAACAGATGGTGTGACCTGTGAAGATCAGAAAATGTCCCCAGCACGTAGACCTTTTTTTTTTTGGAGACGAGTCTTGCTCTGTTGCCCAGGCTGGAATGCAGTGGCTTGATCTCGGCTCATTGCAACCTCCACCTCCCGGGTTCAAGCGATTCTCCTGCCTCAGCCTCCCGAGTAGCTGGGATTATAGGCGTGCTCCATCATGGCCGGCTAATTTTTGTATTTTTAGTAGAGACGAGGTTTCACCACGCTGGCCAGACTCGTCTCGAACCCCTGATCTCAGGTGATCCGCCCATCTCAGCCTCCCAAAGTGCTGGGATTGCAGGCATGAGCCACCGTGCCTGGCCAGGTAGGCCTTTTAAATGAGCTAATTATTATTTGAGAAATACTGCTTCAGAACAGAGATACGTTTGTCTGTCTCTTCCTGGAGGTTATACCTTTGCTCAGATACTTTTTGTCAGCTCTGTGGGTAGGACTAAAATTGTTCTGGTCAAAGCATAAACTTTGATCAAGTGGGAAATGGGAAGGGAGACAGGCTTGGGTCTTTCCACAGGGCTGGAGTTAGCGTGAAAAGGAGTCAAACCACAAGTAAACAACAAAACCTCTACATTAGAAATTAAGTTTAAAGGATCAAGATTGTTCCAACTGCTATTTATTTCTTACCTATGACAGCTGTTGTGATCATATCAGTGATCAGTATATCTGGGATAACTTTTTTGTTTTTTTTGAGATAGAATCTCGCTGTCAACCAGGATGGAGTGCAGTGGTGCGATCTTGGCTCACTACAACCTCTGCCTCCTGGGTTTAAGCGATTTTTTTGCCTCGCCTCCAGAGTAGCTGGGACTATAGGCATGCGCTACTATGCCTGGCTAATTTTTTTATTTTTAGTAGAAATGGGGTTTCACCATGTTGGCCAGACTGGTCTCGAACTCCTGACCACCTTGGCCTCCCAAAGTGCTGGGGTTACAGGTGTCAGCCACTGCACCGGCCAAGGAATAACTTTTTAAGAACAGTTTAGCTAAAATCTTAACACGTGTTTTACAGACACAAAGATATATTTTAAATCTCATTAAACCTTATTTATCAGGAGTGTATCTGTACCTTAAAGTGGAAGTTAAGTCACTGTTAAAGATACATATATATATATATGTATTTTATTTTTCCACAAAGAGACACATTTTCATAGTTACTTCAATATAAAGTATGCCTTGTCATTTGGGCCAATTTTTTCAGAATTATCTTAACAGAATATATTAAACCACCTTTGCTTAACATGGACTGTTTCGAGACACCAGCACCTCAGGACTTCAAATGAATAAAGGGATTTTTAAAAGGTAGAACTCTTCATAGGCTGGGTGCAGTGGCTCACGTCTGTAATCCCGGCACTTTGGGAGGCCAAGGTGGGTGGATCACTTGAGATCAGGAGTTTGAGACTAGCCTGGCCAACATGGTGAAACCCCATCTCTACTAAAAATACAAAAATTAGCCAGGCATGGTGGTGGGCGCCTGTAATTCCAGCTGCCTGGGAGGCTGAGACAAGAGACTTGCTTGAGCCCAGAAGGTAGATGCTGCAGTGAGCTAAAGTCGCGCCACCGCACTACAGCCTGGGTAACAGAGTGACAGAGCAAGACTCTATCTCCACCCCCCCCAAAAAAGTTATAACCCTTCAATGGAGCACTTAAGAGGATAAATTATGATTTATGATGTTGGGGCAAGTGGCCAAAAGTAGTCATTAGGATAGGAAGATCATTTCCCCAGGAACCAAAATTGTTCATTTTGGGGGTTGGGGGTGAAGCTTTATTTAGGCTTATACTTAGAGCGGGAGGTAGTTTTGCTCTATATTGTGAAGGTTTTTAATATACTTTTTAAATTGATTTCAGTTCTAACACGTTTTGTGATCATGCTGGCTTTAAATATATGGGTAACAGTGACAGTACTTCGCTACCGGAAGACCGCCATGAAGGCTGAATGATGGACACATTATTCCTTTACACTGTGGATTCCGAGTAACTGAACCAAAGGAAAAAGAAGCTCTTTGCTAAATTAAGGTCTTTTACAAATTTAGTAAATCAATTTAGACTCTTTGAAGCCAAAGGCTTTTTTAGACTTGAAAGAGCCATTTAAATACTTGTTTAAAAATACCGATTTCCCTCCTCCTTCCTCACTTCATTAGGTTGTGGTAGCGCCGAGCCATCCGCAATGTTGAGAAGGCCAGTGACTGTTGGAAGTCATCCAGGAAGCCCATTTCAAGGCCATTTTGACTCTTACTCTTGAAGTCATGATTAAGTTCTCTACAAAGAACTTAACTACATCGATGTTTTCTCAGAATCTTTTAGGAAATAAATCCTCTCCATGACAAAAATGAACATGAATGGAGTGGCATTTTTTCCAAGTCAGAGGTGGACACCCATATTAAATGACGGGTTCACTTTCTGGGACTGATGTTTAATTTTAACATAGATACAACAGGATGGCCTCGTTTTATATAATACCGTATTACACCTGCATGCGCTCTAGCAAGGACGCCAAGGCAAGCATAGTGTAACTGGCTTGAGTTTGTGTACCAAAACAGTCCTTCAACTTCGCACTGTGCCTTCAGTAATTCCTAAGAAAAGGTATTAGGATTAGCTGTAATCTCTACTGAGGAAATCCCAATAAGCTTTCTAATTCAAGTACAATGCTGCCATTTTTTTTTTTTTTTTTTTTTGATAGAGTCTTGCTCTTGTCATCCAGGTTGGAATGCAGTGGTGTGATCTCGGCTCACTGCAGCCCCCGCCTCCTGGGTTCAAGCAATTCTCCTGCCTCAGTCTCCTGAGTAGCTGGGACTACAGGTACCTGTTACCACGCCCAGCTATTTTTGTATTTTTAGTAGAGATGGGGTTTCAACATGTTGGTTTGACTGGTCTTGAACTCCTAACCTTGTGATCCTCCTGCCTTGACCTCCCAAAGTGTTGGGATTACAGGCGTGAGTCACCGCGCTCAGCCTAATGCTGCCATTTTTAAAAGGGCCACAACTATATGATTACCACTGTTGGAATTTGGTACAAAGTAAGTTTTGTCTATTGAAAACATACACAGTAAAGGGTGTTGTTAGGTAGGTTCTGCCCAATTCTTATGGATTTTACTCACATTATAGTATTTTTTACATGAAGCATAAGATTATTATAATACTGTATTTTCTTCTAAATTAACTGTTTCAAAACTCACTTTCCCCCTTTAATTGAAGACATTGTTTTGTCATATGCAGCAATGATGTTTACCAGAAATTGTTTCCTATGCAAAATAAATTTTCAGATTTTGAATTCTGCTGAGTCTTAAAACTGTCAATCATCAATATGACTATTTTATGTAAGCTGTAGTTTTTAAACGAACGGGTTAATCCTTTTAGAACTACTGCTTGGGCCCAGCAGGAAGAGAAACATGGTATCTAAAAACAAAATTATTCATTCTATAGTTAAAATTACAGATGCCATATTTTTAAACATCCAAGTTAATCTTTTTTCATTTGCAGTTATAATCTGACCATTAGCATCCCTACAAATTCTGATTTTTTATTCCAACACACGTTTTATTTAGCTGGTATTAGTACTTCATCATTGCTTTAAAAACTAAAAGGAGACATAGGTGATGAGGTCTGTTTTTCCCCCTTTGTAAGTAACAAACACTTGAGTCACTTCAGACATTTTACACACATGATCATTCTTAATCTGGTGGTGATCCTGTAAGAAAGACACAATCTCCATTTTACAGATAAAAACACTGAGGCTCAGAGTGAATAACCTGCCTAAGATCACAGAGCAAATAAGTGCTCTAGAAAAGGTTCCACTGATTGCCAAACACTTTCTAGAAAACCACCTATCTATCAGCACACTATTTCCAGACGAAACAGATATCCTCCCTCTTTTCCCCGTTCTCACCAATTCAAATGAGTTTATGTTTGTGTGCCTCTTAAAACACCCAAATCAAATCAGACAGTCCTGGCTGCAGTTTGGCATTTCTCCATGAATTAAATGATAGGGCAGAAGAATCACAAGTCTACAGCCTTAGTTACTCTCCTCATCCCATCGTTTCTACCCATCTTAGAGGGAAAGCAAATGTTTTAGGTAAACTTTCTAAGGTTGCTGGATTCCAGGACTACATTTCATAGGAAAAGTATGAAAATGCTTATGTCTCCATTTCTTTTATTTTATAAAAAGCAAGCATAAAATACAATCACATTACTACAAAGATGCAATAAAATTTTAAGAAAGAAAAAGGGGTGCATTTTTTGTTCAAAGGGGATAGCTCATCAAATATTTATGATTTCCTAAACCATGCAGTTCATGACTTACTACAATTCCAAACAAAATTCATTATTATGGGGATGGGAATCAGGGAGAGGCCCCCCAAGCGTAACTTCCAGCGCCGTCACAGTGCTTGTAGTTAAAGTGCTTACAAATGGTGTCTTCGCAACATAGGGAAGCTGAAGCCTTATTCCAGGGAAGGAGAGGTGAGTCAGCAGCAGTGTCGGTGCAGACTGAGAAACTCGGTAGTGACTTGCTCAAATCAGATTTTAGACACGATTTAGAGCATGTTTCAATAAGGTTTATATAGTGTCTGAGTTTCTCTACTGTGTCACCAGAATCCTGGAAGAGAGTAACAGCAGCAACATAACTTCTTAAACTGTGGTGCGGCCACCTAGAGTATTTTTAGGATCTATAGATAAATGGATGCAAAACAGATACTTCAGAGCGAGATTCATGTAACTCTAACACAGGTTAGTTTTAAAAGCACTAACCTTTACTTGGCTTTACTGGTGTGCTTATCCATTAGTTAGCTAGAACATTTTAAAACTTTCATATAGATTTAAAAAACTTGTTTCTAGAGAACATGATTTAAATTAATATTTTAAAAACATTATACATTAATTTCAATAGTAATACCGGCACCAGTTTCCCTTTCACATCTGTCTCGTTATCCCCACAAGACAAAAGTAAAAAATACAACTAAGAGAACCCCAGTATTCATGATTTCTTAGTTCCCCATAGGAGGTATTTATGGCTCTAGAAGTCAGGTGTGAAGAAACAAGCAACTTTTAGTCTTACAAATATTTATCTTGGAAGCTTTAGGGCCTCAAGAAAAAAGAGAAACGAGGACAAAATCAGGTTCTTTTCGTATTTAATGAGTGTTGGAAAGAAAACACGTTGATAGGTGCATGCATTCATGTATGTACATGAAAGCGGCAATGCGGCAAAAAGCGAATTCTTACCCAAGGTCAGGATGTTTTATTAAGCGCATTTTCATTAGTTGGACAAACAACCTTATAAACCTTTATGTCAAACCATATAATGTGAAGAATCTCCATGGGAGAGATTTTTTTTTTCACCCTTTGGAATTATCTTTTTCACCAAGACCTTCACATGAATCTTCCTTGTACAGTTGGTCACACCATGATTCCCCATATTCTCTAATATATACAGCATCCCAAATTTAACTTTTGCCTTTTTTACTCAAATATTTCAGTTACTCATGTAAACTTGAATTTCACCTTAATAAAGTTTATTAAAAATATATATATATATATATATATATATACTCTCCAATTCAGAATAGGATAGAGCCTTCCATAATGTAACAAAATCTTTATATAAAATATTACTTCAGTCTTTTAACAACTCTAATGAATGGAAATATTTATTCTATATAAATTTTATATATTTTTCATTTTTTAATCTTACTTTAAAAAAGCTGTCCCCCAAAGCCGGAGCTGCAGAACACAGCTCCAAGGGAGACGGCATGCACATCTAGTCTGAGCACAGACAGCATCAGAGCGCAGATCGGAGAACTCAAGAATAACAAAATCAGTTTCAGGGTATCAGTAGGCCAGTGGCTGCTCTTCAGTTTCCACAATAGTATCGATCATGGGGATCTGACCTCAGAGAGAATCAATGAAAAATGTCTACTTCCTTCATTGAAATATTAATTATTATTATTTTCTGAGACAGAGGCTCACTCAGCTGCCCAGGCTGGAGTGCAGTGGTGTGATCTTGGCTCATTGCAACTACCATCTCCCAGGTTGAAGCAATTCTCTCGTCTCAGCCTCCCAAACAGCTGGGATTACAGGCACTAGCCATCATGCCCAGCTAATTTTTGTATTTCAGTAGAGACAGGGTTTCACCCTGTTGGCCAGGCTAGTCTTGAACTCTTGACCTCAGGTGATCCGCCCGCCTCAGCCTCCTAAAGTGCTGGGATTATAGGTGTGAGCCACCGCGCCTGGCCAGACAATGTATTTCAATACCATACCAAACTCTGTGTGTATTTATATAAAGAAAGACTGATAAAAGACTTCATAATTTAAAAAATAACAAAAACTTGATGCTCACCCTTGCTGCGTACTGTCGCAGTATAAAACATACACTTATCTGGGATCACAAGAGTATAGCAAGAATGGTCCTGCATAAACTCACTGTGACAGCATTTTAAAAATAAAAATCAAACTAGGGGCCTCTGAGGCCGCTTCTTCCCAGTTACCAGTTTTCTTAACCCAGTGCTAAAATACTGCCACACACAGTTGTCTGTCTGAGGGTCATATTATCATATTTAAAATGTATCTACAGCATGTCTTAGTTTTCTTTATATTTGGAAAAATGTTTGAATCTTAAGTGTGAAAATGTAATCACAAATGTCTTTACTAGGAATAAAAACACATCTAGGGTAGCCAGCAAATATAAAGCAAAGAAAATATTTTGTAGTCACAGACTAATCCTGAAGTCTGTAAAAATGGCTGAGTGAATAACAGATGACAAAGATACATTAGTTTCAACACCATCCATTAGTTTCTATAACCAATAATACTTTTAAAAATTTGTTAATCAAAATAGGCTGACATTGATATAACTATTTATGTGTAAAAATAGTGCATGATTTCTCTTCCACAAAGCTAGTTTGCATCCTAAAAGCTGGTAAACCGCTTTTGTTGTTGTTGTTTTAATACAGAAAGGGCCGAGACTTTGAAAACAATTAAATTAAGGCATTCAAAATGGGTAAAGTGGCCTATCATGAAGCATTAGGGAACCGATGTAATTAACTTTAAATTTCTTGTTATAGTAACTGCTTAAACATGAACATGCAACTCCCATCAGGTACACAGGAATGAGTGATAGAAACTCCAACATTATGGCTTTAGACAAGTGCATAGATGCAACTCCAGTAAGTAATGACATCTGATTGTGTATAAAAAAATAAAGTGGGCAGCTTAAAAAACCTTCTTGCAGTATTCGAGTACTATATATATATATGTTTATATATATATATATATACACAGTATAATGGTCACTTCTTAAAGATGCAGTCAGTATCACTGTAGTGGAATCCATTCCCAGATTCTTCTGGTAAATGTGCTGGTGAAATCTCTCTGCTGAAGCTAGAAAAGCTGTTTTCTTTAAACTTTAACTCTTCTCAATCGCTGTGTGCATTGTAGTGTGAGTGACTGCCAAGAGAGCTTTATGGAACGCGTCTGGAAGAGCTGCATATATCCTCAGTCTATCAACCAATCACTGCTGGTTCAACTTGTTGCTTCAAAGGAGCCCAGAAAATCTCTCCAAGATTTGTAATTTATATTACAGGGAAAAGGGGAACACATATATGTATGAGTATATGTATCAGTCTCTCCAGGAAAATAGAGCTTTTTAATAAATTCTGAGTCATGATATTTCAGTGTTTTTTTCACTGGAAGAATATGATCACTGTGAATAATGACTGCTTTCACAGAAGGCAGTTAGCTGGAATGAAAGGAAAAATAAAGTTAGCTGATACAATGAAATAATTTAAGAGACTGTTAATTCCTAGAAAAAGCATTCCATTCACATTATTAAACTATACAGTTTTCCAACTACTATATTTTTTAACACCTAAATCATGCATAAACATACTTACTGTGTTACTTTTGCTATTTTTAGGTACATGCAATTATATTCTTTCCCAATGCAACTTGGGATTTTGCAATATTGGTTACATACATTACACACAAGTCTTAATATGGTTAACAAGCTATTAGGGTTAAGTAATATGCCACAGAAAAGCTTAGATAAAGTTTGATTTGGGGTTTAACTACTAGCTGCCTCATGTAGCTGAAAGGGAAATGGGCCTATTGCTCAGGTTCTACTTGGCTGTTGGACCCTAACCGCATTTTTCTTATCTATAGGATAGGACCAAATACATTGTTGTAGTAAATATATACAAACTACTCTATGAAACTTGATTATACATAGATACCAATAGTACCTGACTGATGTTCTGCAACATGCTTAGATTAAAACAGACA